TATACGTTAAAACGGTATTTTGAAACAATAGCCAATGAATTGAAGTGATTTAGCATATGAGCAAGCAAAATGTACAATGTGTTTTAACAATATTTAATGTGTGTGTATTTATTCGTTAATATTACAAGGTTTGATCTTTATTCCGTGATTTTATTTTGTTATTTTTACACGGGAAATCGGGGAAAACCCACAGGGAAAATCCATTTTTCCTGTCTGCGCGTGCGCAGTGCGAGTTTGGCTGACATGCGCATGCGTGTTTGCTACTAAAACAATGGCGGTTCGAATATTTCGAAGCGCGAATATAGCAAACTTTGGAGGGATTTTTTTCCCAATTGTGCACCTGTTTCACTTGGGGAGCGACGGATTCTGATAAAGTAAGTTTTTATCTATTGATTCATGTGAAAATTATGTAGTTCCACGAGGGGTGCAACGGAATTGCATCTTTTGGATGCTCATCCTACGGCCTAACACATTGATTAGGTTTCTCTCCAGTGTGCGTTCTTTGATGACTAACCAAATTACTAGCCTGTGAAAATCTCTTCTTACAAACATTGCATTCATAAGGTTTCTCTCCAGTGTGTGTTCTTTTATGTTTAACCAAATTACTACCATAAGAAAATCTCTTTTTACAAGCATCACATTCATAAGGTTTCTCTCCAGTGTGGGTTCTTTGATGACTAACCAAACTACTACCATCAGAAAATCTCTTTTTACAAGCATCACATTCATAAGGTTTCTCTCCAGTGTGTGTTCTTTGATGTCTAACCAAACTACTACCATCAAAAAATCTCTTCTTACAAGCATCACATTCATAAGGTTTCTCTCCAGTGTGTGTTCTTTGATGTCTAACCAAACTACTACCATCAGAAAATCTCTTCTTACAAATATCACATTCATAAGGTTTCTCTCCAGTGTGTGTTCTTTGATGACTAACCAAACTACTACCATCAGAAAATCTCTTCTTACAAATATCACATTCATAAGGTTTCTCTCCAGTGTGTGTTCTTTGATGTCTAACCAAACTACTACCATCAGAAAATCTCTTCTTACAAATATCACATTCATAAGGTTTCTCTCCAGTGTGTGTTCTTTGATGTCTAACCAAACTACTACCATCAGAAAATCTCTTCTTACATATATCACATTCATAAGGTCTCTCTCCTGTGTGTGTTCTTTGATGCCTAACCAAATTACGACCATGTGAAAATTTCTTCTTACAAACATCACATTCATAAGGTTTCTCTTCAGTGTGTGTTCTTTGATGACTAACCAAATCACTACCACGTGAAAATCTCTTCTTACAAACATCACATTCATAAGGTTTCTCTCCAGTGTGTGTTCTTTGATGACTAACCAAATCACTACCATCAGAAAATCTCTTCTTACAAGCATCACATTCATAAGGTTTCTCTCCAGTGTGTGTTCTTTGATGTCTAACCAAACTACTACCATCAGAAAATCTCTTCTTACAAACATCACATTCATAAGGTTTCTGTCCAGTGTGTGTTCTTTGATGTCTAACCAAATGACTACCATCAGAAAATCTCGTCTTACAAACATCACATTCATAAGGTTTCTCTCCAGTGTGTGTTCTTTGATGTATAACCAAACTACTACCACGTGAAAATCTCTTCTTACAAACATTGCATTCATAAGGTTTCTCTCCAGTGTGTGTTCTTTGATGACGAACCAAACTACTACCATCAGAAAATCTCTTCTTACAAGCATCACATTCAAAAGGTTTCTCTCCAGTGTGTGTTTTTTGATGTGTAAGCAAATGACCAACATGTGAAAATCTCTTCTTACAAACATCACATTCATAAGGTTTCTCTCCAGTGTGTGTACTTTGATGACTAACCAAACTACTACCATCAGAAAATCTCTTTTTACAAACATCACATTCATAAGGTTTCTCTCCACTGTGTGTTCTTTGATGTCTAACCAAATTACTACCATCAGAAAATCTTTTCTTACAAACATCACATTCATAAGGTCTCTTTCCAGTGTGTGTTCTTTGATGTCTAACCAAATGACTACCATCAGAAAATCTCGTCTTACAAACATCACATTCATAAGGTTTCTCTCCAGTGTGTGTTCTTTGATGACTAACCAAATGACTACCATCAGAAAATCTCTTCTTACAAACATCACATTCATAAGGTTTCTCTCCAGTGTGTGTTCTTTGATGACTAACCAAATTACTACCATAAGAAAATCTCTTCTTACAAATATCACATTCATAAGGTTTCTCTCCAATGTGTGTTCTTTGATGTCTAACCAAATTACTACCACATGAAAATCTCTTCTTACAAACATCACATTCATAAGGTTTCTCTCCAGTGTGTGTTCTTTGATGACTAACCAAATGACTACCATCAGAAAATCTCTTCTTACAAACATCACATTCATAAGGTTTCTTTCCAGTGTGTGTTCTTTGATGACTAACCAAATTACTACCATAAGAAAATCTCTTCTTACAAATATCACATTCATAAGGTTTCTCTCCAATGTGTGTTCTTTGATGTCTAACCAAATTACTACCACGTGAAAATCTCTTCTTACAAACGTCACATTCATAAGGTTTCTCTCCAGTGTGTGTTCTTTGATGACTAACCAAATTACTACCCTGTGAAAATCTCTTCTTACAAATATCACATTCATAAGGTTTGTCTCCAATGTGTGTTCTTTGATGTCTAACCAAATTACTACCACGTGAAAATTTCTTCTTACAAACATCACATTCATAAGGTTTCTCTCCAGTGTGTGTTCTTTGATGACTAACCAAAACCCCAGGCTTTGAAAGTCTCTTCTTACCAAAGCGATAGCTTCGTGATTTTAAATCCATCTCAAGATCTCAAGAGGAAAAGAGTAAATACTTTTGAAAGGCACAGTGAAGAAAATCAATATTGAAAAATGGAAAATAGCTCCTCGCGAACGATCGTGGGCTCTGGGTACGAGACTGGCTATTGGCTCCTTTCCATCCTTCCACGTGTTATAATTCGCGCTATAGTGTAACTATACTGATTATAAAATCCGCTGAGATCTGCGATCAACACTGACCTCATGAAGAGTCTGGACTAATCAGTTTAGATGATCATTTAGAACAATTTTCCAATACTTGTTAAGACTTGGTTTTCTGGATTACCCAAAAGATATATAAATGAATGACAAGAAATGGTGTTGCTAAAAGCTCGTACACAGCAAGCAATTCCTTCGTAGAGATCAGAGATAAAAAATATTCATAAACATGAAAATACAAACAAAATTTCAACTCAACAATTTTTTAAATTCAGAAAACACCCTAACAATATCGATATGATCTTGGAGGTTGTTTATATGAAGACTGGACATACTTGTTAATTTTATAGTAAAAATTACCATGCATTTATAATATGAATCTCCCCTGATTGATATAGGTAAGAGAATTTTAATACTATATCCTGGCCTACAGGCATGGTAGCTCAAGGGTGCCATTGAAAGATATTTTTAACTACTTTAAAAACAGGAAATGCCTAGGAAAGTAGAATAAGCATTTTCTCGCTAATGTAAAGGTAATTCACTTTGCTTACAAGGCTTTGTTGCTACCATGCTAGCCCAGTCTCCATATAAACAGCCTCTTGCCATTTAACTATGTAAACACAACGAAATATTAACTTGAAGAGTTCAGATAGAGTTTTTTGGTTTTTCAACGGTTAATTAACTCAGTCTTGACATTATGTCCCCTCCAATATGTGTTCTTTCATGTCGAACTAAATTATCAATACTCTGTGAAAATCTCTTCTTACAAATATCAAATTCATGAGATATCTCACCAACTTGTATCTGTGATGTCTTATTACTTGTTATGTAAAAAACTCTTCTCAGACAAACCACATTCATAAAGTTTCTCTCCAAAATAAATTATTTATGTTTTGTCAAACTGCTTGTTTGAATAAATCTCATTTTACAAAAATCATTCCATCTGGACGTCATCATCAACACATTGATTAGGTTTCTCTCCAGTGTGTGTTCTTTGATGTCTAACCAAATTACTACCATAAGAAAATCTCTTCTTACAAATATCACATTCATAAGGTTTCTCTCCAGTATGTGTTCTTTGATGTTTAACCAAATTACCTTTCAGTGAAAATTGGCTCTTACAAACATCACATTCATAAGGTTTCTCTCCAGTGTGTGTTCTTTGATGTCTAACCAAATCACTACCGCGTGAAAATCTCTTCTTACAAGCATCACATTCATAAGGTTTCTGTCCTCTGTGTGTTCTTTGATGACTAACCAAATTACTACCATATATAAATCTCTTCTTACAAACATCACATTCATAAGGTTTCTCTCCAGTGTGTGTTCTTTGATGTCTAACCAAACTACTTCCACGTGAAAATCTCTTCTTACAAACATCACATTCATAAGGTTTCTCTCCAGTGTGTATTCTTTGATGACTAACCAAATCACTACCATGTGAAAATCTTTTCTTACAAACATCACATTGATAAGGTTTCTCTGCAGTGTGTGTTCTTTGATGTCTAACCACAACACAAGACTCTTTGGGAAGTTTTAAATCCATCTCATAAAACGGTGCATTAATAAAACCAAGATTGACTCTAACTCTTCAAAATCAATTTGAAAATGGTCAATATAGTCTCTACGTGGTGCTGCGCTAGAGTATAATGAAATTTATTACAAAACCGCTGAGACTCAGCTCCGGGCTCATACGCCCCTCACCCCCCCACCCCCCCAATGCCTATCACCCAAGTGAAGAATTTATTTACAAATAGCTAAACATTTCTCATGACGTCAACGCGTAAAGCCGGATGTTACACGAAGCTTGATTGGCTCCGTAAAGCGGACTAGCCAATCAAAGTTCGTGTAACATCGTGTAACCGGGTTTGACGACGCTGCTGAGATGAAAGCTCTATTCTCCATCATCTAGAAGTGGTTGTTCTATAAGCTGCAGCCAATATTGCCAATGTTACAGATGTAAATTTAAATTTTCGATAAAGGAAAAAGAAGAAAGAAGCAAAAAATTCAAAGCTCTTCGCCAGAAGGAAGATGTTCTCTGCAAGAGACTGGCCTTGCCTCCACACGATACGTCTATTGGAGAGATACCTACATCGAAAGAAGTGAAAGAGATTGAAGCTAATATAAAATACATGGAAACCCAGCTGGTATTCTTGTGTGGTGATGCAGTTAGGGTAGAAGGCTTGAATGTCAGGGAGAAAGGATTTTGAGGGACTTATATAGACCAAGGGACTATAATTGAATGTTAAACACTGAATAAAACATTGCAACTAGTACTAGTTGCATGAGTACTAGTAGTACTGCAATGATCAACTGACATTGAGGAAGGTTGAGAGTGAAACACTGAATAAAACATTGCAAAGCAGAAAGTACTAGACTAGTCAGGCTATACATAGTATTAGACTATTAGTAGCAACAGTTTGACTTGCGGTAATGCAAAGAACAAATATTACACCTATAGCCTAGCACTGACATAGAACATTGCAAAGAAGTAAGTTCTAGACTAGTCAGGCTATACATAGTATTAGACTATTAGTAGCAACAGTTTGACTTGCGGTAATGCAAAGAACAAATATTACACCTGTAGCCTAGCACTAACGCTCTATCGTACTTGATAAAACCCAAGAGAATGTTGCATCTTATTCATGCAGGCACAAGCTCGAATTCATTTTCAAGATGCTCGTGAGAAAATCCTAAGACTTTGGAAGGAACTAGAAATTGATGAAATGACAACAAAATTTGCAGAGATTTCCACAGAAAATTCACAAGAAACCTATGTTTTATCAAAAGAAAACTTGATACAGTTGAAAGAACATTTAGTCGAGGTAAACTTCCATACGAAAACTTTGTTTTCGCTGTTATAAGGAGGTAAAAATGCAGAAAATTGATTGTTTGTTTAGCTCGAAAAACGTCAAGAGAGCAACCATCAACACCGTATGGAATTGATGAAAAAACTGAAGAGCCTGTGGATGAAGTTGGAAATTAACGAAAAGGATCAGTGTGCATTTGAACAAAACTGTGTTGGTTTCAGACCATCAGCCATTCAAAAAGTAATGTGAAAACGCGGACAGATCTTGAGGTTTTTGTCTATCTAGAATGCAGAGACATCCTAAACAAGCGTGCATGTATTACTTTTGTTATTTAGTTAAAAGATGAAGTCGATAAGTATGAATGTATGAAATTGAAGTACACAGAGAAATTTATTCTTGGCTTAAGGTTCGTCTTTTCTTGATTTTTCTAATAGTTGCAAGCTATTGCATTCATTGGACGACCAAACTGAAAGCTTTTTTATAGCTTCATATACAAGCGATAATATTTTGAACAACTGATTCCGCGCATAAAACGTTAGTTTACTCATTCAGAACAAATAAAAAATTGTTACCTAGTCAGTTTGGATTCGTACAGCCAGCTTTACTCAGAACTTTGATGGTTGATCCAGATTCTTTCATCGATTTCCTAATGGATTTTTGCTTGTTCTATCGCTTTAGAAAGGAATTGAAACAGCTTTGGGATAAGTGTTATTTTGGTGAAGATGAAAGGAGAGAATTCAGCCCAGCGTTTGATGGTGCGTTCGAAAAACTATGTCTACTTGTATTTTTGCATCGATGCAGTATTTTGGGTAGAAGATTTGTAACTTAAACATTTGGACAAGTTTCTTTAGACTTGAGTAACATTTGGACAAGTTTCTTTACCTGAGTAATTTTAAAATCAATCGTGCAAGTCACAAAAACCTCAATCATAAAACAAGGTTTGTTTTGGATGATATCTTCAGATAATTACACGGAGGAATCGTTGAACATCCACGAACATCAGATTCGCGTGTTGCGTGGATTTTACGAGGACAATAAAGCGATCTTCAAGTTGGTCGAAAAACGAGAGATGATGTGGAGAAAATTGATGGAATTTGAGGTAAGGTGGTCAGGGTTTGACATCGAATCGCCCTCGCTTTGGCTAAAACAAATCTTCTTCTCTTTCGTTTCAAGAATAAAGAAAACGATCCTGCGAGGTTGTTTACCAACCGTGGTGGCGCTTTACTTAAAGAACTCAAGATGAAAAATGCTGTTGAGAAAGGTTTACCAAAGGTGAGAAATTTCAGAAATTTCAAACCCCTCAAAGAGAAACAAAAGTTGCTCGGATAATACATACCTTACATCTGTCTGCAAACGCGATGCAAACTTAAATTTGTATTATTTAGTTTTAGCTGATTGAGGTTGAGACAGTTGGTTCGTTCAAATTGCTGCAAAAAATATTAACTAAGTTGTCAAAAACTTGTGAAGGGAATACATGTTTCCCAATTTTCAGAACATATAGTCCAGCTAATTTTCATGTTGAACTATACTCTGGCGAATTCACATTATTAATTCAAAATGTAATCAAAGCGTTGGTATTTAGACATTAAGGACTGTACCCACCTTTAAAGTCACCAGGTGCACACACTGGCCCAAGCACTGAAACTATACTTGGAAGTGATCTATTGTAATAAATGATATGCAAATATCTTGCCCACTTGCTAATATTCAGGTGGAAGAAGATTTAAAGAAAATGATTCAAGTTTGGCAGAAAGAAAACGAAGGTTTCTTCTTCGTGAACGGAGAGAAATATTTAGAGCTGATCAAAACACAACAGGAGGAGAGAAAAAGAAATAAAGATTTGGTAAAATTGGGAAAGGTATATGCAAACTATTTGCTACAAAGCACTTTATTTGAAGAAATTAACAGTTATTTGTGGATAACTGTTTATTTATTTGTTTAGAATTCGTGGATAGTTCCATATTAAGCCTGTTTTCTATGGCATTATCAATTAGACATGAAAAATTTTGTAAACCATTTTCTAGGCTAATTACATTATCAATGTTTTTTGTGCCGCAAAGTTGAGCCTAGATGCTCATCATTGTGGGATACAATTGAAATATTTAATGGTAATGATATATTTGTCCAAATATAAAAGGTCAATAAAATTATAATCATATTTCCTTGTAGCAAAAAGAGAAAAAAGCCGCAATCAAAAAGGAAATGGTTTACGGTAGCAAGCCTATTATGCCGACGAAAAGGTAGCGAACTGTACCACAACCAGTATCCCCCCCCCCCACATACGAAAATTACCGAAACCTCACATTAGAATCTTGTGGTTTCCTAATCTTTGTAACACCAAGAGAAATGAACAGATTAATTTTAGGTTTTCGGAAAATTTTTCTTACTTAATTTCAAATTTACTTTCTCAATGTTCCTTTTTTCGTCCTCCTTTTATAGGGTCGGCAAAAATAGCTTCAGACTTCCGATGAATTCCAAACGAAAACTCGATGAAAAGGTAAGGGAATAAATAGGCGATCTTTGTAGCGGCCTGGTAGTTCGCATCCCTTACTCCGAGCCATTTTGAAGACACCATTAACAACTGAAAACTATTAAATAGAACCTGTCTGACATTTATCTGTCAAGTTTACCCAATGTTGAGAATTGAGCTCAACATTCTAGCTAAATAGTTCTCCTCTGTCTTATTCCCGTACGCTGACCCTAGTTCTGCGATGTAATATTTTGTAATTTGCTAGAATGGTTCCGCCTCTTCTTCTACGATATCCCTGACCATGTCGTCTTCGTCAACGTCTTCCTTAATGCCGTCCCAAAACAACACGCCAGCTTCGCTTCAAGCCAACGTAAAGACAAAAAAGGTATCGCGTTCTCGCCTATTGCATTGAAAACATTCTCATCGAAATTGGTATACGGATCATCTTTACCATGCACAGTTCAGTATTGAAGTGGACAGAGTACCCTAGCTCTTCTCATTCCACTTTCTTCTAAAGCACATTTTCAACATGTAAAAATTAACAATAACAGAAAGGCCACAACAAGGAAGAATTTCTTTTTAAAACCAATCGGCATATTTCTTTACATTTTTTAGGCAAAGCCAATCAGAATGCCTAAATTTAAGTACTTCATGTATAATGGTATATATTGTAAAAGAAATTCCCCCCTTGTTGTTCAAGGCCACTCATTATTTATTTTTTATAGAAAACTAAAAATTCCAGACGTATTTCGTCTAAAGTCAAGCGACATGTTTTGTCGTCGTTGAAAAGGTATTTATAATTTATTGAACACAGGGTTAGCAAGTTGTATTACATTTAACATTTGCCTAGATTGTTCATTGTTGTATGTTTGTGGAATACTTGAAAATAACGTTATAAATGGGGTCATATAGGGCGATGTCTCATGCGGTTTCATACTAAAGACGATTCTAGTAACCTGGTGTGGTATATATAGTATAGCTCTATACATTTTTGCATATTTTTCTCGCCAGAGGCAGTAAGGAAGACATTGATGTGGATAGCAGCAAAGACGATGATAATGATGAATCTATTTCCATATGTACATATCCTGATTTTACCGTAAGTAGCATACGTCTGGCCTAAGAGGCGATGTCTGGCCCCTTATTTGGGGAGAGTTATTGGTGTGATACCTTTTCACGGTTTTTACGGACCGCGCAATGATAGCTATTGAGGGACTGGAACTGACGTGGGTGCTGACGTGTTCCTGACACAGAATATGTATATACAGAATGTTAAAGTCATGGGCCGTTTATGCTGAGATAGGGCATCTATCCGTCCTTTAGAGATTGGGTTGACTGGTCGAAGAGGCAGTATACTTATGTTGCCTTTTCGTTTTTTTAGAATCACATCAGACGCGGAAGACAAAAGGAGCTCAGCAGCACGGCTGCAACTGTCGAGTCGTTTGAATCAGAACTCTCACCCACGGACCAATCGTTATAAAAAGACATACGGCAAGTTTCCTTATATATATTTATTAGAAATTAATTTATTTTTTTAAAATTATTTATGTAATAAATTCACTATGGCGGGGAAAATGTATATTATATGGGAAAAAAAGATGGCGGAAAGTCAATCTTAAAGCATTTTTTCAAATTTAATCGCTAAAGTCAGAGAAAGAATTAAAACGTTTGTTAGTTCGCATTAACCAGTTAAGTAATATAGATTTTCTTAATTTCCTTTCACGTGTTTTTTTCTGCGCCAGTGAATTCTGGTTCTGCGCATTCAGCCCACTGATCTGTTAATACACTGGATGTAGGAAATATAACTACGGAGATCCGTTTCGTTTAATTGATGTAATTTTTCGTTCTTCAATCATAACAAATCGCATCGGTCGTGGTGCATTAGAGGTATACTTGAAATGTCTACAGGGTGTCTCAAAAAAAACGAAAACTATTAAAATCACCCATAACAATGTAATTGTTAGAGTTTAAATGCCTAAGCATTTTGTTGGGATAATATCCACAACATGAATAAGAAATTTTGTTTAGTCTCAAATGTTTCCACGCAGGAGACTAAAACTGACGTACTATAGCGCTTCAATTTCCGCCATCTTTGGCTTCACTTTTTGGCCTCACGGAAATCTAATCACCTTTTTTCGATAACGATTCATAGTCCAGTGTAAAATATAGGTCAGTGTTGGAAAAATTTGCATCCGCATTTTCTGCTACAGTAGTTTTCATTGAAACTAAAATTTGAATATAATCCTCCATTTTGTTTATGTAATACTCTGCTCTTGAATTATCTCTGTCACACCGCATTACCCGACAGTTACTTAACAAATCGTTGATAGCGTCAAGTTCAGTCACATTATCACCCATTTTTTATCAAAGAAAAAGGGATATCACATCTTTCAATTATTTGGCAATTGGCAGTATCTGGCACTATATCGACATTTTCCGATCACCGGCGACGAATATGTTCGGAGATATCCGATTTTTTATTGATAACCGCTGACCCACAGGACAGGCGAAAATCTCGACTATCGCGTGCAACTTCTCGACCACTGCGTGCACTTCTTGCCCATTGTATGCATTACTAACCTATAGTGCACACTTCTCAAGCGTCGCGTACAAATTTCTGGGGTATTGATTGCACTTTTCTCAACAATAGTATTCAATTCTCAACTAATGTGTGCACTTTTCGACTATCATTTGCAATTCTCGGTATGCTTTTGTCCAGTATGGCTTGCCATACAAAACATCTCTACATACGTATTAACACTTTGTAAATACTGAGGGTTATTTTGGTAATTTGCTTACACATCAAACAGCACACACTGAAGAGAAACCATATAAATCATAAATGTGATGTTCGTAAGAAGAGATTTTCACGTGGTAGTTGTTTGATTAGTCATCAAAGAACACACACTGGAGAGAAACCTTATCAATGTGACGTTTGTAAGAAGAGATTTACACTACCACGTGAAAATCTCTTCTTACAAACATCACATTCATGTTTTATAAGCAGAGATTTTCACCTGGTAGTAGTTCGATTAGTCATCAAAGATCACACACTGGAGAGAAGCCTTATGTATGTGACATTTGTAAGAAGAGATTTTCAAATGCTGCTAATTTGGTTAGTTATCAAAGGACACACTGGAGAGAAACCTTATGAATGTGATGTTTGTAAGAAGAGATTTTCACAAGATAGTAATTTGGTTAGTCATCAAAGAAAACACATTTGAGAGAAACCTTATGAATGTGATGTTTGTAAGAAGGAATTTTCTTATGGTAGTAGTCTGTTTATACATATAAAAAACACACAATGGAGAGGAGAAAAAACCTACAAACAGGGATACTGTTGCAATAGACTTTTTAGGCAATTTCAAAAAACATAAAGAATGCACACTATCTAGAGAGATGTCATTGAGAAGTTTAGATTTTCAAAACAGCACAAAATTCATAAAATGAATGAAGACTTTCATTTATCTTGTGATCGATGGAATGACAAACCAATAATTAATTAACCTTACCAGAAGTAGAACTGAAAAATACTTTTGGAGAACATAACATGGTATGGTAACATTAACATTAACAAGATAAATTTAGCTTTTACAATTCTTTTGTTCATATTTTTGGTTTCAAGAATTTCAAGAAACTTCAGGGAGCCACCTTAAGCTTTGTGTGTTCATAACAATAAACAATATTATATTTTTTGATATTGTAAGTTATGGTAGACATTTCAGAACATAATGTTATGTTGTAAGTTTTTGTGGTATATTTGTCTTTGAATTATAAAATTACAAGTATTCTAACTAGAAAGTAGAAAGCAATGAGCTCCACCAAAGTGACCAAACGCGGATGACCAAAGCCTGATGTTTGATTGGCTACGCAAAGGCGGCAAAGCTAACGAGAGCCAATCAAACTTCGTGTTAGCCTCATGTATGCCTACTTGATGCGTTATTCTGTACTTCGTTGATTGATGTCTCAAATACAATACCAGACGCATTGACACAAGAAATAAATTAAAAACCGTACCCCTGGTCCAGGTTTACAACAAATACGTCCCATCGAGTTGATAGTCCAGCGTGAAATATAGGTCAGAGTGTTTGAAAAAAATCAGCGGATTCCGTAATTACTTTCGTTATACTCTAGCGCGTAACGTGATGATTTCAAACCAGTGAACTGTTTCAAACAGCAAGGAGCTTGGATTTCAATCAAACTGAAAACAATCAAATCGTATTCTCTTGTCTCGATTATTTTCGTTTCACAAAAGCCAGGACATCTCTATATACGTATTAACACTTTGTGTAAATACTGAGGGATATAACTCGTCCATAATCTAGTATTCAGAAGTTAGAATTTCACGTCGCTTGGATTGTTCAGAGTGAGGCTGAGGCAATGAGCAGCTTGAATCCTGCAAGAAGAGAAGGAACACACAAACTTCATGAATGTGATGTTTGTAAGAAGAGATTTTCACGTGGTAGTCATTTGGTTATACATCAAAGAACACACACTGGAGAGAAACCTTATGAATGTGATATTTGTGAAAAGAGATTTTCACGTGGTAGTCATTTGGTTAGACATCAAAGTACACACACCGAAGAGAAATCTTATGAATGTGATGTTTGTAAAAAGAGATTTTCACATGGTAGTAGTTTGGTTAGTCATCAAAGAACACACACTGGAGAGAAACCTTATGAATGTGATGTTTGTAAGAAGAGATTTTCATGTCATAGTCATTTAATTAGACATCAAAGAACCCACACTGGAGAGAAACCTTATGAATGTGATGTTTGTAAAAAGAGATTTTCACGTAATAGTGATTTGGTTAAACATCAAAGAACACACACTGGAGAGAAACCTTATGAATGTGATGTTTGTAAGAAGAGATTTTCACATCGTAGTGGTTTCGTTACACATCAAAGAACACACACTGGAGAGAAACCTTATGAGTGTGATGTTTGTAAGAAGAGATTTTCACAGGGTAGTGGTTTGATTAGTCATAAAAGAACACACACTGGAGAGAAACCTTATGAATGTGATGTTTGTGAGAAGAGATTTTCACATCGTAGTGGCTTCGTTGCACATCAAAGAAAACACACTGGAGAGAAACCTTATGAATGTGATGCTTGTAAAAAGAGATTTTCACGTGGTAGTCATTTGGTTAGACATCAAAGAACACACACTGGAGAGAAACCTTATGAATGTGATGTTTGTAAGAAGAGATTTTCACAGCGTAGTAGTTTGATTAGTCATCAAAGAACACACACTGGAGAAAATTCTTATGAATGTGATGTTTGTAAGAAGAGATTTTCACGGGATAGTCATTTGGTTAGTCATCAAAGAACACACACTGGAGAGAAACCTTTTGAGTGTGATGTTTGTAAAAAGAGGTTTTCACATGGTAGTAGTTTGGTTACTCATCAAAGAACACACACTGGAGAGAAACCTTATGAATGTGATGTTTGTAAGAAGAGATTTCCGCATGGTAGTAGTTTGGTTATACATCAAAGAAAACACATTGGAGAGAAACCTTATGAATGTGATGTTTGTAAAAAGAGATTTTCACAGGTTGGTAGTTTGCTGAGACATCAAAGAACACACACTGGAGAAAAACCTTATGAATGTGATGTTTGTAAGAAGAGATTTTCACAGGTTGGTCATTTGCTTAGACATCAAAGAACACACACTGGAGACAAACCTTATGAATGTGATGTTTGTAAGAAGAGATTTTCATACAGCGGTAATTTGGTTGCACATCAAAAAACACACACTGGAGACAAGCCTTATGAATGTGATGTTTGTAAGCAGACATTTTCGCGTGGTAGTAATTTGGTTAGTCATCAAAGAACACACACTGGAGAGAAACTTTATGAATGTGATATTTGTAAGAAGGCATTTTCACATCGTAGTAGTTTCATTAGTCATCAAAGCACACACACTGGAGAGAAACCTTATGAATGTGATGTTTGTAAGAAGAAATTTTCATGTGGTAGTAATTTGATTAGTCATCAAAGAATTCACACTGGAGACAAACCTTATGAATGTGATGTTTGTAAGAAGAGATTTTCACATCGTAGTGGCTTCGTTGCACATCAAAGAAAACACACTGGAGAGAAACCTTATGAATGTGATGTTTGTAAGAAGAGATTTTCACATGTTGGTCATTTGCTTACACATCAAAGAACACACACTGGAGAGAAACCTTATGAATGTGATGTTTGTAAAAAGAGATTTTCACAGAGCGGTCATTTGGTTACACATCAAAAAACACACACTGGAGACAAACCTTTTGAATGTGATGTTTGTAAGAAGAGATTTTCACAGAGTGGTAATTTGCTTACACATCAAAGAAAACACATTTGAGAGAAACCTTATTAATGTGATGTTTGTAAGAAGGAATTTTCTTATGGTTGTAGTCTGCTTAGACATAAAAAACACACACTGGAAAGGAGAAAAAAACTAGGAACAGTGTGTCTTTTTAAATAGACTTTTTAGGCAATTTCAAAAAACATAAAGAATGCACATTATCTAGAGAGATGTCATTGAGAACTTTAGATTTTTGAAACAGCACAACATTCATAAAATGAATGAAGACTTTCATTTATCTTGTGATCGATGGAATATGAAACCAATAATTAACCTTACCAGAAGTAGAACTGAAAAATATTTTTGCAGAACGTAACATGGTATGGTAACATTAACATTAACAAGATAAATTTAGCTTTTACAATTCTTTTGTTCATATTTTTGGTTTCAAGAATTTCAAGAAACTTCAGGGAGCCACCTTAAGCTTTGTGTGTTCATAACAATAAACAATATTATATTTTTTGATATTGTAAGTTATGGTAGACATTTCAGAACATAATGTTATGTTGTAAGTTTTTGTGGTATATTTGTCTTTGAATTATAAAATTACAAGTATTCTAACTAGAAAGTAGAAAGCAATGAGCTCCACCAAAGTGACCAAACGCGGATGACCAAAGCCTGATGTTTGATTGGCTACGCAAAGGCGGCAAAGCTAACGAGAGCCAATCAAACTTCGTGTTAGCCTCATGTATGCCTACTTGATGCGTTATTCTGTACTTCGTTGATTGATGTCTCAAATACAATACCAGACGCATTGACACAAGAAATAAATTAAAAACCGTACCCCTGGTCCAGGTTTACAACAAATACGTCCCATCGAGTTGATAGTCCAGCGTGAAATATAGGTCAGAGTGTTTGAAAAAAATCAGCGGATTCCGTAATTACTTTCGTTATACTCTAGCGCGTAACGTGATGATTTCAAACCAGTGAACTGTTTCAAACAGCAAGGAGCTTGGATTTCAATCAAACTGAAAACAATCAAATCGTATTCTCTTGTCTCGATTATTTTCGTTTCACAAAAGCCAGGACATCTCTATATACGTATTAACACTTTGTGTAAATACTGAGGGATATAACTCGTCCACAGTGGCGTAGCTAGCGGTCCCGCTATCCCGCCCGGCGGGACAAAAAATGTCCTAAAAATTAGACTAACTAATTAACTAAAATCGCAATTAGATCATTACTTATTTCGAAAAAATTTTCAGTGCTTTCATTACTTATTTTATGCATTTTACGCAATTTTGCAGCAGTCTACTTGTCTTACGAAACAACGGAAATTGACGATTAGCTAATTTCCACGCAGTTTCGTTGTTTACTCGCGCGATTCTGTCCCGTGTTCCGCCGATTTTGAAATGGCGGAATTTGCAATACTATTTATTAAAGAAATTCTCGTTTCTGGTTGGATAACTAACGCAGCGCTTGCTCAGAACGGCCGATTTCAATGCCGAAGTCCCGCTATTTTATAAAGGCGGAGGTTGTTAATATTCAGCCTTTCTTACGAAGTTTTCTGCGTGAGTACACACACAACCGTGACGGTAGGTATTCATATATTCATATTTGTTATTGTCCTTTCTCCTTGAGATTTGCATAAATACAATGGCATCAACAAGCGTGACCAATCCTGTTTCTGTTCAATCATGTGTATCTGATATTGTAAATGCTTTGTTGATGAGATCTTTTTCTGTTCGACCAACTGTTGAACAAAATGTTATTGTCAAGGAACGACCAACTCCAAATTTAAATATTAAGAATAAGGGAGGTCATTCATGAAGGAGTGGTACTCTAAAAAGGATTGGCTTTGTGGCAGCTCTGTTTTAGCAAAATTGTTCTGTTGGCCATGTCTTTTGTTCTGTCCGGGAACGTCACCCACATGGACGAAGACTGGCTATACGGACATGAGAAGCTTGATGTCAGATGGGAAAAAGCATGAAAAGTCCAAGTCACACTTGGCTGCCTACAAGATGTGGAAAATGTTTGGGGTGAATGTGGGAGTGGATTCTCTTCTTTCGCAAGCAAGAAGGGATGAAATTCAAAGGCACAATGAAGAGGTAAGACAAAATCGGGAGATCCTTAAGACTGAGACCGAAGCAGTACTATATTTATCAAAACAGGAGTTGGCATTCAGGGGTCACGATGAGAAAGAAGATAGTTTGAATAAAGGAAATTATAGAGAGTTGCTTGAGTCCTTTGCCAAGTTTGATTCTGTATTTGAACGAAGACTGCATGGTAGGTTGGCTGAATCTGGAAGGGGTGGGCGTTTTACTGGGGTGTCTCCTGAAATTCAAAATGATTTAATTAATTGTATTGATTCTGTTATTGATGATGTAATTATGAAGGAGATAGATGATTGTACTTTTATCAGTGTGCAGGTTGATGAGACCTCTGATGTTTCTACCAAAGAGCAGGTAAGTATAATTGGACGTTTAGATAAGGGTGAAATTGTTGAAAGACAATTAGGATTTGTGGATGTGAGTATGAATAGGACTGCTCCTGCAATATCAGAAGTTGTGAAAGATAAACTTGGTCAGTTTTCTACTATGAAGGAGAAGCTTATAATGCAAACTTATGATGGTGCTTCTGTCATGTCTGGCCACATTAATGGTGTTCAACTTTGGTTCGTCAAGAGTATCCTTTTGCCCATTTTGTCCATTGTGCAGCTCACAGGTTAAATCTTGTTTGTGTCAGTCTGCCTCATCTATTCCCCCTGTCAAAATTTTTTTATCAATATAGGTGGCTTTTGTACTTTCACAAGTAATGCCCCTAGAAGGAAGGCATTTCTGACCTCCCATAATCTTGAGTTCCCTAGCCCTGGTGATACCAGATGGTATTATCGAGCCCGTGTTGTTAAGGTTTTGTATAATAATTATGAGAAACTTTTAGAACTTTTTGAAGGAATAACAGATCAACCAATGGTTGGGATGATGAATCATTGAGTAAGGTTAGTGGCTTACTGCACTATCTTAACAGTTTTCTCTTTTGTTTTTTAGTATGTGTTTTTTACAAAATTTTAGAGCAGTCTTCTATTTTGTATTCAGTGCTTCAGAGTACAGGTACAGACTTTAGCTATGGCATAAGCAAGATTGAAAGTTTTAAGAATTTTGTTTCTTCTCTTCGTACCAATGAAGAGTTTGGTAAATTTTATCAAGAAGCGGTAGATAAAGTAGGTCAACCTGCAAGTAAAGCAGACAAAAAACATAATTACAAAGCCCTTTATTTTGAGATAATTGATTCCATTGTAGGAATGTTAAGTGAGAGATTCCAAGATATGAAACAATTTGAGTTTTTAGATCTGGTAAATCCAAAGGTTTTTTCAACTTGGAATGGAGTTCCTCCTCCTGAGAAAATAACCCTTCTCAAGGAAATGTATGGAAGCCTTTTTGATCTCTCAATGCTTCAGAGTCAACTTAGTTTTATTTACAATGATAAGGACTTCCATAAGGAGTCTAGTAATGAAGTTCTTAAATATATATTTCAATTTAATCTTCAGTCTAGTTTACCAGAAGCTGTCAAGTTATTCAAAATGAATGGGGTCTTAGCTGTGTCAAGTGCATCAGTTGAAAGATCATTTTCCTGTTTAAAAAGGGTTAAGGGATATTTAAGAAACAGGATGGGCCAGGCCCGACTCAGTTCTCTTTGTAGGATTTCTATTCACAAAGATATCATAAAGCTTTTAGAAGATGACAATACCTTGCATGAGCACATTATCAAGAAATTTGTTGAAAAACCCAGGAGGCTTCCATTTCTTTTTAAATGATACTTCATTATTTTTTTAAATGATTTTCCTTTTAGGGCTATCTAACTAATATTTTTCTAATAATAGAACTGTGGGGAGATATCCACAGTAGTGGTGACCCCTTTTTGTTAAGGCATACATCCACACTTTTTTAATGTTGAGGAGATACCCACTTTAGTGGTGACCTCATTTTGTTAAAGTATACATCCACACTTTTTTAATGTTGGGGAGATACCCACTTTAGTGGTGACCTCATTTTGTTAAGGCATACATCCACATTTTTAATGTTCTATTTGGGGAGATACCCACTTTAGTGGTGACCTCATTTTGTTAAAGTATACATCCACACTTTTTTAATGTTGGGGAGATACCCACTTTAGTGGTGACCTCATTTTGTTAAGGCATACATCCACACTTTTTTAATGTTCTATTTGGGGAGATACCCACGTGCACCTCAGCACCTGCGGTTGAGTTTGAGTTTTTGGGCAATTCAAAAATATAATAATTGACGTCTTCGGACGGTAACTTTTACATCTTAGAAATAAATGCAGCATGTTGAAAGTGTTTCCTTTTTTATTCTTAGTATATATTTGGGCTATGATGAGTGTTTTCATGTTCTGCATAGGCAATTTTTCGGTTTTTTCCTGCCGAACGCATACTTTAGAACTACAGAGAACTCTGAGCCTGAATTGTTAGAAAATACTAGTGCAAAGTTCAACCGAGAAGGAAAAATTTGAGACATCTACGCGCAAATTTTATATTTCAGGGGTGTTTTATAGCACTGCATATTAGCCTCTTAACAATCTCAAAATCGCCGAAAATGCCATTTCCGAGGGTCTAGATTCAAAAATTTTCCGGGGGAGAATCCCCCCGGACCCCCCTTATTTGTGTCATCCGGCGGGACATGTTCTAAATCCTAGCTACGCCACTGCTCGTCCATAATCTAGTATTCAGAAGTTAGAATTTCACGTCGCTTGGATTGTTCAGAGTGAGGCTGAGGCAATGAGCAGCTTGAATCCTGCAAGAAGAGAAGGAACACACAAACTTCATGAATGTGATGTTTGTAAGATGAGATTTTCTTATGGTAGTATTTTATTTAGGCATAAAACAACACACTCTGGAGAGAAACCTTATGAATGTTATATTTGTGAGATGAGATTTTCACGTGGTAGTAGTTTGGTTAGACATCAAAGAACACACACAGGAGAGAAACCTTATGAATGTGATGTTTGTAAGAAAAGATTTTCACAGAGTGGTCATTTGGTTAGTCATCAAAGAACACACACTGAAGAGAAACTTCATGAATGTGATGTTTTTAAGAAGAGATTTTCGCATAGTAGTAGTTTGGTTAGACATCAAAGAACACACACTGGGGAGAAACCTTATGAATGTGATGTTTGTAAGATGAGATTCTTTGATGGTAGTGTTTTGGTTAGACACCAAAGAACACACACTGGAGAGAAACCTTATGAATGTAATGTTTGTAAGAAGAGATTTTCACAGGCTAGTAGTTTGGTTAGACACCAAAGAACACACACTGAAGAGAAACTTAATGAATGTGATGTGTGTAAGAAGAGATTTTCACATGGTAGTAATTTGGTTAAACATCAAAGAACACACACTGGGGAGAAACCTTATGAATGTGGTGTTTGTAAGAAGAGATTTTCCCAGCGTAGTATTTTGATTAGTCATCAAAGAACACATACTGGAGAGAAACCTTATGAATGTGATATTTGTAAGAAGAGATTTTCACATGGTAGTCATTTGGTTAGTCATCAAAGAACACACACTGGAGAGAAACCTTATGAGTGTAATGTTTGTAAAAAGGGATTTTCACAGGGTAGTAGTTTGGTTATTCATGAAAGAACACACACTGGAGAGAAACCTTATCCATGTGATGTCTGTAAGAAGAGATTTTCTGATGGTAGTAGTTTGGTTAGTCATCAAAGAACACACACTGGAGAGAAACCTTATGAATGTGATGTTTGTAAGAAGAGATTTTCACGTGGTAGTAATTTGGTTAGTCATCAAAGAACACACACTGGATAGAAGAAACCTTATGAATGTGATGTTTGTAAGAAGAGATTTTCACAGGGTAGTAGTTTGGTTAGTCATCAAAGAACAGATGTGTACACTTGAGAGAAGGCTTATATGCTTGTGACCTTTGTAAGAAGAAATCATAGATTCAACCTTACATTTTATAATAATATAGTTTATATAGTTTCTATTTAATGATATAGTTTCTATAATATAGTTTCGTAATATAGTTTCTATTTTTTGGATATTTGACCCCGAATAATTTTTTAGGCCTGGGGCAGACTAAATTTTTTTGAAAAAGTTTCAGTTTGCCCCTCGTGCCAGTAATTGCTGTCCTTTGTTTTCCATTGTCACATAAAGCCTGAGTAATAGACCCCAAACTTTTTGTTATTTTCTTATATTATTATAATATTTTTCTAATTTTATTATATTACTTTTTATGTTTAGTTTCGTTGTGTAAACGACGTTTTGAATATTAGATTATATTTGTTACTTAGGGTTGACCTTTCTTGTTAATAACATGTTTACTAAATCCTAAATATGCATATTTAATCTTTGAGATTAGGTTAGGATGAGGATTAACCTAATCAACTATAATCCTCGAGATTAGGTTAGATTTATGGTTAGATGTAGGATTAACCCAACTCTATTCAACCTTGAGAGTAGGTTAGGATTTGATTTAGGATTAGGGTTAACTCTTTTCGAATATAATCCTTGAGATAAAGTAAGGGTTAGATTTAGGATTATGATCTAGCTTAGGATTAAAGTATAGGTTACACTCGCAGATTTTGGTAGTGAAAATACTACGTGTTATGAAGCTTTACCCTAACCGTAATCCGAATCTAAACTATAATCCAAAACTTAATCCCAGAACTAATTCGCATTTACTGTTGAAGTTTAACCAGAATTTGCTGAAACCCGTATTCTATACACGAAGATCTTCACAGGATTTTAATCAATTTTACGATATGTCCTCGCTAGGCATAAAGCGACTATTCCTTTCCCGTTAGAACTTAGACCAAAGATTTTTGAAGTTTTAAAGATGTATACAAAGTCTTGTTTCAGCCGTGATATGCGATATTTTCAGCAAAGCTCGCATTAATATTATATTCATATCAAGCTAAACATAATCCGTAGAATGCCTCGAAAAATGCTTGGCTTTTTTCTTTGGGATTAATTGTTTTTCTTTGTGAAAACAGCACGGCGTGCAGTCCCGCTATTCGGTTCCCGCTTTGATGAAAAACACGTTAAAAATTGCCTTTAAACACATTAATAAAATATGACAATATGTGTTATCAATATTGATCGAATAAACACGATATTTTGCGGCTGAAGTGAATGAATGCGAACAGAAAGATAACAGCAGCTGATATTCGCGACTCCAAAGACGAAACTTTGCGATTCCTACAAAAAGTTTAAAGAAACATGGACATTTCTGAGCTTCAGGTAATTGTTACATTTTTAATATAAATTAATTTGCGACGAAAAAAACTGGATGCTATTGCAGTGCTTTTAGTTAGAAATTTCTGTTTTTAATGTCTTTCAGCTGTTCAAACTATGAATATACATATTATCGCTATTTAATATATATTAACACCTTGAACCTTGAAATATTGAAGCCGTGAGTTTAATTGTGCGCTCGATTTGTTCAACACAGGATCATCTCCTAATCTCGTCAACAATGTCAGTGTTTCTCGCACGGTCATGAAGTACACAGCTCGATTTTGACCAAATTAATGCACTGTATATTTGGACGCATTATTAATTGTGAAATTGAGCTGTTTATTTGCTAATGTGTAAAATTATGCATTGATAGCTGTTGTGGCCGTTTAAATTTTCCTTGCTTCCCCGGTGTATAAATAACCCGATAAAAGTCGACGCACTTTCCTTTCTTTTTAAAATAAAAGATTGGAAACCGCCGTGGCATCACAAATACTGATTTTTATAAATATTGGAAACCGCCGTGGCATCACAAATACTGATTTTTATAAGTATTTCCATATTGAACCTGACTAGAAGTCCATTTGTTAAGCGTTAAAATATTAGGGGATCCTAGTTCGGTCACAGAATACCCATCACTGAAACAACTCCATGTTTTTTTTTTGCTGAACTCCTTAAATCAAAGTGATTCGTCATGATTCGTCACTCCGGCAATAATAGAAGCAAAATCACCCCCCTGCCAATGTCTAAAATGGCGCTATTTTTGATATTGGCAGGGTGGTGATTGCTTCTATTTACGGTACTTGCTGAGCGACGAATCGAAGCGGTCGGTCAGCGAAATTCTACAGGCGTAGTTAAAGTCGAGTATTTTGTCCGCATAGCCTTTGACAGATGGTGAGTCTCGAGATAAAATGGACGCAGATCAGGTCAAAAGCGATCGTGCAGTTCAGCAGGGCAGGAACATTCTTCAAATGGTCGTGTCCAACTGGAAGAGTCTTACACCAAAACGTCACAAACGGAATCCGCTGAAAAACTATCAGGAGCAACAGTTGAAGGAGATACCTGGCGCGTCCAAGAAGACTGGGAGCGTCATGCACGCGGCGCTGACCAGCGAGGTAGACAGCGAAGATTATAAAGTGAATGGGAAAGCTATGGATACGGGAATGCGTGTGCGAAACCACGCGTTAATTCATTACATCGCGAAACTGGCCGTCTCGAATCACGATAACGACACGTTCGACTTCGCTTTCGTTCAAAGTTTGCTGAAGAACGGTGCGGATATTAACGCGACCGATAAATACGGTCAGACCGTTTTCCACGAAGTAGCCAGATCGTGGCATGCTGACGTTGCTGAATTTTTGATCCGAAATGGTGAGTGTGGTCGTCGTATCCTTCAGAAGTGAATTATATTCAGAAAATGTGGACAGGGGTGTGGGTCGCTTCCCCAATCGCTCGAGAAACGATTTCCCCAAAACGTTGAAGTCTGGCTAGAAAACTGTTAGGGGGCTTATCTCATAGTAATGACGACCAGTTACAAACCTCTAATCTTACCCAAATCTTCAGCCTGGGGGAACCCTTATTTTTCAGAATTTCAGTAAAAGCCCTAGAATTCTAAATTTTGTCGGTGGGGATGTCGCCCGACATAAGTTTGCCCCCCCCCCCCTCCAAAGTCAGGGCAATTGCTGCGTCCTGCGTGTGGACAGAACTAAAAAATAGGTTCGAAGATATAAAAGTCTTGGAGGCTTTCTGTTTGTCTTGAATATCATCAGTTAGGTTTACTGTTAGGTTTTATTCTCTTCCAGGTGCTAACATGGACCAGCAAGATAAATATGGCCGGGCCCCGCTACACGTGGCTGCTGCTGTAGACTACGTTGAGATGGTCGAGTTTCTGGTGAACAAAGGAGCTAATGTGAATATACGAACAACGGGAGAGGAACAAACTCCGATACACTTTGCAGCGAAGAACGATGCTTGTAAAAGCTTGAAGGCCTTGATTGCATATGGCGTTGACGTCAACTGCAGAGATTATCAGGAACGAACTCCACTCCAGGTGAGGTTAAGCCGAAGAGCGAGAGGATTTAGTGTGATGCCCAGTAGCGTAGCCAGCCTGACGATTTGTCCCGCTATGCTAATATTTTGATGTTCATTGACTGTGAAAACAATAAATTTTTATAATACTCAAAATTTACATAGCGGGACAAAATCATCAGGCTGGCTACGCCACTGGTGTTGCCAATGCGTTTGTTTCAAGTTCTGAATGAGGTCTGCCTGGTTGAAGCCCATTTTCCACAACGCGAATTTTCTCACGAGACGCGTAACGAAGCATTAACCGAAATCCGGCATCTTGATTGGTCGGCAGGAAAGGTCGTTTCAAACCACTAGCCAATCACATTGCGGCGTTTGTAGTTCGCGCGTAAAATTCGCCTGGTGGAAAACGGACTTAAAGGAAGTTTCCAATCTTTAGCTCGCTGCGGCAATGAGCAGATCAAAAGCAGCTCGAATGCTGATCGAACTCGGTATTCCTGCTGGAGTTTACGACAAAGATGGTGAAATGGCCGTCTCCCTGCTTGTTATCAAGATGCCAGATGTCGCCAAACTGGCCCTGGATCAGTTTTACTCCGAGGATAACATCACCCACAAGCGTTACTATTTCCTCAACTACCTGGAAGGCAGTCGTGTTGTCGACGGGCGGTGTTCGGCGCGCACCCCCCTGGAAGCTGCCGTGGCCAGCAACTGCGTTCAAATCATCATGCATCCCGTGATGCAATGCTTGATTGCGACCAAGTGGGGAAGGTTCGGTCGACGTTGGGCGTGGTTCGACTTCGTGCTGAATATGACCTCTGCAATAATCTGGACCGCGATGGGCGTGACCCTCCCATTGGAACACGACACGCTTTACAACCCCCCGCACGAGAAATGGTGGCGAATGGTTCTCGCTTGCTTAGCTTTACTGCTGACAATGTACGAGCTTCTCAGACAAGTGGTGATAACCGTTCGTACCAACCGTTCTTTGACGCAGTGGAAGAGCTACCGCGAGAAATCGCTTTCACGTGACAAGCCTTTCTGTCACCCGCAATGGCCAGACGAGGCGAGATACGTCGATAGCGAAATCAAAAGCGTGCTCGAGCATCGCTGGCTCGCGACCCACGATCGTTGGGTGTACATAGACTGGGTGGCACTGACGTTGATCATCGCCTCGGCGATCTCGCATGCAGTCTTTTTCTCTCAAGGCACTCGAGAGGCACACACCGTACACGTGCGCATCATGTGCGCGCTGCTGATTGTCACGTGGGTGCGCATACTCAAGTTCGTGCGACCGTTCCAAGGGACTGGAGCGTTCGTCGCGTCCTTCACCAAGATGGTTGGTAATATCATGTTATCTATGTTCCTGGTCGTCATTATATTTTTGCCCTATGCATCCAGTTTCTGGATTTTATTTGGAGGTCTGAGCCCAGTACCAGCAAAGGGCTTTCGATCGATGACGGCGGTGATGTATGAGGTAATTCTATCATATACGATCAGTGTTGCTACATCCAGTGTATTATCAGATCAGTGTTGCAATATCCATTGTAGTATCAGATCAGTGTTTCTCATATCCAGTGTAGTATAAGATCAGTATTTCTATATCCAGTGTATTATCAGTTCAGTGGTGCTGATGGATCAACGTCAAACTTTGTTACATCCAGGTCTTCCAGATGACCGTTTTGGACACAAACCACAGCATCATACCATTCCTAAAGGTGGATCCATTCATGGCCAGACTGCTCTCGTGTACATACGTGTTTATTTCGTTCGTGATCGTGCTCAACCTCATCATAGCGATGATCACGGACACGTTCAAACGCGTGTTCAGTTACGCTCAAGAACACGCAGCGATAGAACGAGCGAAGACCATCTTGAACGTCGAAGATTCGATGCGGGAGAAAACAAGAAAACAATATTGGGAATACATTCGTAGCAACTGCAGTCCGGTTGTTATGAATCGACTGAACAGACATGGCCAAACTATCTTCTCTGAAATGGTATTGCATTTACTATCATTTGCATTCAAGTATAAGTTCTGAACTATTTGTTTGAAGAGTTTGTTTCCCTTTTGTACATAATGAATTGGGATTTAAGTGGGCATCTTCCCAGAATGGGCTCAATTCATTGAATTTGATCGATTAAAGCCCGCCGCACACGAGAGATATTAGCTGAGATAAAGACCTCGCAAGGCAATTAGCTCAGCAAGTTACTCAAGTTACTGATTTACGCAAGTTAGTGAGGAATTCGCCTCGATAGGCAAATTTCTCTCGTGTTAAGATAATTTTCGTGAGGATTTCGCCTTGAAAGGCAAGTTTCCCTTGTGTGCGGATGGTTTCTGCGCTGAGATAACTGCCTCGCGAGGTCGTTAGCTCAGCTGATAGCTCTCGTGTGCGGCGGGCTTAAGATACATTACAGCATTTCAAATATTTTAGGTTCATATGAACGACAGGATCAGAGAGACGCACCAACTCGTCCGGACTCGCTTCGGAAAAGAATTTGGTGAAAATAAAAAATCCACCATGGAAGAGATGGTTAAATTCGCCGGCGACATTGTGAAAAATTATTCAGACTCCAAAGAGATGCTAGTGACGATTTTTAGCGAATTGAGATCATTAGAAAATCTCATCATGCCGAAGGGCGTTACCCTGGATCACTTTTCCAAGAATCCCGCAGCGAAATCTCGGAAGCTTGGTCCGCCTGATGATCAAATTGATTCTGCAAGTGATGCTGGTTTCGATCAAGGTTTGACGGAAGACCATTATCAAAGAAGGCATTCTTTGAAAAGCGAGCCAGGCAGTGTCATTAAAGAACGTTTTAAACAAAAGTTTAGAATGATAAGCAAGTCTGCAAGTGTTATTGGAGAAAAAACAAAGAAAGAACGGCCGCGCAAAACGAAGTCGAAAGGTACACACACGTGAACTGTACAAATCGTAAGCTTTCTTCAGGCTAATGCAATGTTTCAACTAATTTTTTTGTTTATATTTTTAAAATAATGTACGCAGGGAGAGAAGATTCAGAGTATCCGGGAAAATATGTCGAGGAGGTCGAGATTGAAGGAGAGAGAATTCGAAAAAGAAGAACTCGGAGCAAGTCTGCTGGAAACATCAAAAGATACGACACTGGAGACAGAAGTCGCAGTAAGTTGTCCTAATTGGGATTTACATGTCGCCGGCATTTTGGCGGGAAAATGTTCAAAACAAACAATCATTTCGGCCACTTCGGTAGCAGTATAGCTTCGGTTTAAATGTCATTTTTTCTTCAGTGAACAACGAAAAGCTCTTTATTTTCACATTATTTCTAAATCATATAGTAAACATACTTTTCAGATGCATTTGACGTTTGTGAGATGTTTTAAATTTTGAAAAATCCAGCCGATTGCTAGTTGATAAAACTGTTTAAAGAACTTTTTTTCTAAATTTGTGAAGTTCCGTTTCAGACGTCGAAGTTTTCGTGTGTCAAACCTAACGTTAATGCCTTTTTTTAAGTTTATTTGCATTTGATTTAACGCACTTGAAAATTTGGACTTCTGAAACGGACCTAATATTTCGTGATGTGTTTAGGAAGGGAAGATATTGAATACGAAGACAGGTCCGTGGGGAGACGAGACGAAGAAGACACGAGAATTCGCAGGAGAAGAGTTCGCAGCAAGTCCGCTGGCAACATCGAAAGAATTGAACGAGAGCGTGAAACCCGCAGAACATCTTTATCAAGTAAGGAATTATCACGCAGGAAACGAAGAGGACGAGATTACGACGATTAGAGGCTTAGGTGAGAAAAAGATGAAACGGCTGGACATTTTTGATTTCTTCTTTAAACAATTTTTTGGCAGGTATATTATGATAATTCTGTCGCAGAAGTCTATTTACAACTCTGTAGACCTAACCTATAGATCTGCTGCATGCATGGGAAAAATATATCAAAATTCAAAAGGTTTTTAATAAATGGAAAATCTGGGAGGATTGAATTTATGTATTTTTAATGTCTGGTCGACTTAACATTTACAAAAAACTTAAACATTTATATCCAGAGAGCGAAATGTAGGCTAACCTATAATTATATGTGAAAAAAGGTTACAAAAGTAAAGATATATAGATTTCGAATAATTGCAAAGATTTAGAATAATTGGAAAGTCAATTATTCGACGTTGAGCACAAATAATTTTATGTATAATACTGGTTCACACGCAAAGGCGTGTAACCTAGGTTTTTGTTGGAACACCTTAGATTAAACCGCTTTCCATTTAGCTATAATTATATAAACACCTTCTTTCAAATGCGGTGTTAAAATTAATACAATATATGGTGTAATATGAAGCCATGCAGTTGGGAAAATTGTCGCGTCGAAAATGCCAATGGCGCGTTAACGTCGCGTGGGGATAAAACTGTGGTCGAACCGATAGTTTTTACTCGGCCATTTGGCTCCGCCCTGCTTCGTCACACAATAGATCTAGAAAATGTTCGCGTCTGATCGAAACAAAGGTTATACACTTAAATGGTTGGATAAAAGCGAGTTGAAAAGCAAATGATGCAAACAATTTGATTCGGAAACGGATTTTGTGTATACATTTTATATATATTACAAAATAAATTTTTAGCATTTTACAACATTTCCCTATACAACAATTTGCGGTTTTGCACTCGGTAGTGTTTTTTTTTCTTTTCCCACCTCTAGGCTATACAACACTCCTACAAAGGAGAACCCTTCAGGGGAAATAATCAATTGACGTAATCTTGGGGTTTTTTGGCCGCTAAACTAGCCTTTCGAAGGAGGAATATAAGATCAGATAGCGCACAGCGCCCTAAGTCCTTATCCTTGTGGCCCAAATCCAAAATCTCGAAGATGCCAGAATGTGCGAAGTTAATTTTGCTTCGGTTCTTGCCGGCAGTTTGCGGTTTAAACGAAAACATATTTGGCAGCAACGTGCTGTGTGACTGTTGGCAAACTCAAAATGTTTTCTATCGCTGGAATATTCGGATAATCATGTGTAATCTCCCCCCTGCGGCTGTCTAAATAATAAAGAGCGCACTTCATTTGTACAAATACGGATAATATAGGCGTAGCAATTCATCGTGGATTGTTCCACAAGTGAACTCTTGCTGTGCGACTTATAAATACATCTACCTAAAGCAGGAAAGACCAATAAATTATTTAGCAGACCGCAGATTTCGACGAATGAAAACCCCAAAATTAGGCATACGTTTTGCAGCTATGTCAGGCTTATCGGTCTACTGATCGACCGCAAAGTTCTTGCAAAATTTCGTGACGTATAAATTGATAGACAGTTATAGTTGACTGCCGTATCTCACACCGGCGATATGCGAGACGACCGATGTAGATTTTATAGTCTAATGAATGTAGCCACGGAATATCAGAATTACTGATTCTTAAACATCTTAATAAGCTTCATGAAGACTCTGTTTAGGTAAGTTTAACACTTGCACATCGTGTAAATATCAATGATGTCGCAAGAAATGTTTTAAAACAAGTATATTTATCTGCCAAAAATCGCGTATTTTATGTAACTTGTAAAAAAGCGTGCATATAAATCGATCGTTTATAATTATACAGTCTAAAAACGGAAACCATGTTTTGACTAAACGTTTCTTATGAATATTCGTTTGTTGCGACGAAGAGTCTATACTCATAATGCTTTTTTTAACAGTTAAATTATTGTTTAATGTATAATAATATTTTAAATGACTGTGATTGGAAATCTGCACTGCAAAATGCGATAATAATTGTTAGTAATTTATTCATATATAATCAAAATTGTAAAAATTGGATATTTTCTCGCCTAATCATGAAAACAAGAAATTGACGGGTTTATAAGCGCTATTTAAACGATATTTACAAATCTTAATGTGGCATATTCATTTGCGGTTAAACTAGAGGTTATTCATACTCAACTCCCAAGACTGCAAGAGGTTTTTTTGTAAACCGAGAAATTCCTTGCATGCGAATAACATTGTAATAATATCTATATATATTTTTGCTGCCCGGCTTTGCCGAGGGATGAAGATAACATTAATAATAATCGTTTTACCGCAATTTTCGGCTAAAATTTCGGACTGTACACAAAGATTATATCATCTCAAGATATAAAGTTAATATTTATTATACATAACTCTGCATGCATGCATATATTTTTCAAAAGAAGAAGGCTTTTCATATAAGCATGCATTGGAATTAAGTAAAACTTCATCAATCAGACCACATCGATCTTTACATGGCAGACATGCAAAATATATAAGACAGTATAATAAAGGCTTGCTTGGCCGGAAAGATAATAAAAATAGCCTCTTTAATTATAGCCCTATAACCTTAACCAAGTTTAATAGCTACGACATTTGAAGCTAAGAATTAATGGCTCAGCATTTTTGATACTGAATTTCCATATATGAAGTATAGCCTATTGCCTATTGGTCTGGATTGCCCCCTGTGATTTAGGAGACATAGATAACTCACGTAGTCTGTGCATTAGATGATACGAGCAAATCAGATAGATCTTTATTGATATTATCTACAGCTTTGGCCATCGAGAATTTCCAAATGAGAAAAAGTTTACAAAGATATCACGTCTTCATGAGCAGAATATTTGCATTATATACTAATTTTTGATCTATAGATAATGGAAGTAATTGAATTACGGCAGCTGGAGAGGGCATGCTGGAATCGAATCTTATAAAATTGCAAAGTTTGATTGTGAAAAGTTTGTAAAACGCGTTTTGAATGATTGTTATACTTTTGCAACGTAAGCAACGCAACTTTTTCTGTTTAAAGTGAAAAATATACGAAATTACTCAAACAAACATTGCATGTTGTGTTTATTATTAGTAGTAGTTCCTTTCTGGAGAAATCATTTTGACCTCGATTTTTCGCCAGTCCATCATTGCTCATTTTTTTACAATATATTTTCTAAGCTTTTAATCGAAGTCGACGTGGAACGTTATGTCTGAGTCGAGCGTGGATGAGAATGGAAATGGTAGACGCCAGGATTTATTGGAAGACATCGTTTTGGACTGGCGTGCTCTGAAATCCAAGCGTCAAAAACGCAGAAAGTTCAAAGATTATCAAGAGCAGTTGTTGAAGGAAATCCCCGGTGCTGCGGATCGAACCAATGTTGCAATGCATGCCGTGATTGACGTCACCGCGGCCGGGGGCGAGAACCAAACCAGGGGCATGGGGGCAACTAAAGAAATTCGTAACCAGGCTCTTATTCATTACATCGCACGGTTGGCGAGCTCGAACAGCGATGACGATGAATTTGATTTTTCCTTTGTCGAGTCGCTCTTGGAGAATGGAGCCGACATCAACACCGCAGACAAGTATGGACAGACGATGTTCCACGAAGTCGCACGATCGTGGAACGTCGACGTTGCCCGTTTTTTACTCAACCGAGGTACAGAATCTATCGCATATTTGATTGCTTCATATGTTCATATTAGAGACGTGTCTGTGTGATTAGAAAGGTGTACGTATTGGAGAAGTGTCGGTATCAGAAAGGTGTCTGTATTTGAGAGGTGTCCGTATTGGAGAGGTGTTTATGTTAGAGAGATGTGTGTAGTCTAGACGTCTGAAGTAAAGAGGTGTCTGCATTAGAGAGGTGACTGTATTTAGAGGTGTCTGTATTAGAGAGATGTCTGTATACGACAGGCGCAGTTTTGTAGAGAATTTTGCAGAATTTAGGAAACTGTACGGATTGCTATAACTAGGAAATCTTCGGAATAGATTTATGCAAGCATCGATTTACTTTTCACACCAAAACTATCCCCTTTTTATAATCCCTTTTTATAACACCCAGGAGCAAACATTAACCAGCAAGACAAATATGGTCGTGCCCCCCTGCACGTTGCCGCAGCTGTGGACTACACTGAGATGATCGAATTCCTGCTTCATCACAAGGCTGATAAAGATATCACAACGTTCGGAGAGTTGCAGACACCCATCCATTTCGCTGCAAAGAACGATGCTTGTCAGGCTCTGAAGTTGTTCATAAACTATGGCGCGAACGTCAACTGCAGAGACTACCAGAACAGAACGCCATTACATGTAAGGTCACTAAACTGTAAATAGAGTGGAATGTTAACTCTGAAATGGAAAATTGAAGCCGATTAGTTTTTCTGCAACTTTAATTTTTCTAATCAACAGCATGCGCAACAAATTTGTGAACTGTTTAGGTCGCGGCCTCGATGAGCAGATCAAAGGCCGCCCGATACTTGGTTGAACTCGGGACACCGTCGGGTATTTATGATCACAACGGAGAGATGACGCTATCCCTTCTTATCCTCAAAATGCCCGAGGTCGCTACAATCGCGTTGGACCAATTCCGTTCGCAGGACATGATAAACAGAAAGGAGTACAACTTTTTGAACTACGTTGAAGGTCCGCGAATCCTGGAGGACAGCCCCCGAGAAAACAAAGCTCGCTCCCCCCTGGAAGTCGCCATCCAGTACGAACAATACTGTATCGTAATGCATCCTGTGATTAAAAGGCTTATCAACGTGAAGTGGGAGTTTTTCGGCAAGAAAGGGGCTCAGTTTGACTTATTCGTTAACGTTGCCTTTGCGTTCGTGTGGACAATTATTGGCATAACGATTCCGTTAAATGCCGCCCAATTATACTGGCCATTAAGGTAAAGTCCGCTTTGGGTACACGCGTAAAAACGCTCAGGTTGATGCAAGTTGATATAAACAGGATGCAGCAATGTTGTGCTGCCCACATTGTTCAGGGTTGTTATCAATATTGAACAATATTGTTACACCCGATTCAGTTTCAACAATATTGTTCAATGTTGATAACAACTCTGAACAATGTGGGCAGCACAACATTGCTCCATCCTGTTTATATCAACTTGCATCAACCTGAGCGTTTTTACGCTGTAGCTGTGTGATTCTCATCTGGTGTAACATAGGGAAACAAATACCTAATTTTTTACATTTACCTTCTTAGATACGCGTGGTGGCGCCTTCTTTTCGCCATCGCTGCAGTTTTGTTGACAGGGTTCGAATGTTACAAGCAAATCTCGAGTTTCATCTACTTGAATAAGGCCATAAGACGTTGGAAAGCGTTTCGCGAGAAAAGCCTGTGGAACGACAAGCGATTTTGCCATCCAAAATGGCGGGATGAAAACGAGTATTTGGACAAAGAGATTAAAGACGCGAGAGAGGAACGCTTCTTTACAAGACAAGATGGCTGGGTAGTTCTAGGTAAACGATTAAATATCATGACTTGGCTTGCATGACAACCCGGCTGGAATCTATTGAAACTTGGCTTGAAGGCGGTGTTACACTATGCAACTTTCCTTGCAACTTGCAGTGCAGTTCTAATCCTGAGTTATCTAAAGTTGACAAATACAAATATTTCTTACGATTTCATACGTTTTCTTAGCATTTTGAACACTCTTTACAAATTAACGTCCCTCAAAAATTGCATAGTGTAACAGTGCCTTTAGAAACTGCTTGGTTTTACCGTCGTAAAAACCAAAATATTAGCATAAATTATATAGCGGGCCTAACGCCTGTATTTTGAAAGCTCACTCACATTCAAACTCAACGAGTCCTGAGTGACTGAATCTTGCAACCTATCAACTAAGACTGGATTTTTCTAGACTGGCTTGCTTTACTTCTGATACTGTCTGGCATCTCGTCGCACATCGCCTTCCTCGTGACCGGCTCCAAGATGACGCGTGATGTCCACGTGCGCATCGTGTCGTTCGTGTTGATTGTGCTGTATGTAAGATTGCTGAAGTTCACGCGCCCTTTTGAAGGTTGGTATATGGTAGATACGTGTAACGGCTAGTCTATGAAATTAATTTTAAAGGGAAACCGATCTAGTTGTCAGAACTGCTGATAAGGGGGTCTTTTAATAGCGTTGAAATTTCGCATCTGTTCAATTCCTCTGATACAAACGATTGGTGGTGATCCCAGCGTTTTAGGGGCTTCCTTTAACCAGGGCTTTTTGCGGGCTAAATTGAACATTTCTATTGCTGTATTATTCATCTCAGGTCCAGGACCCTTCGTTGCCTCCATTGCGCCGATGTTAAAAGACTTCTTTAAATGGTCAGTCTTGTTCATTCTACTTTTCGTGCCATACGCGTCAATATTTTGGATGATATTCGGTCCAACAAACGAGGACAACGCACCGTTTCTGTCGGACATTCCTGGACTAATTTTCACGGTGTTCAGTATGGCTGCTCTCAGTAATCTTTCGATGGTGGATGATTTAGTGAGCATCGATGAAAACATGGCCAGGATTCTTGTGGGAAGTTTTGTTGCTGTTTCGACCATTGTAACTCTGAATCTTCTCATTGCAATGCTCGCTGACACCTTCACAAGGTATATATTGTTTTTATATTGATTAATTTCCTTGTCATTTTGTGCTGAACATAATACATTTCGCACATATCTAGCTAATATATAACATTCATTTTGAAAGTTCGGCTCCCCAATTTTTAGGTGGATTGACGCCCTTGATTCGAATCCCACAGACGTGTTTTGTAAGTTGTAAGGTGTTGTATTTCAACAGAACTCAACAAATTTGTGAGTGAAATCCTTCCAAAATTGTTTACAAACACATCTTGTAGAGAAGGTGGTATATTGACTAAATTTACGATCATATTTTCATCGCATTAAATGAATATATTTTCGCCAAAAAATCTTTATTTTTTTCAAGGATGTATGAGAATTCTTTGGAGACTGCAACGATGCAAAGGGCGAAGACAATCTTGTACTTGGAGCAAAAACTATCATCTTCCATCTGGCGAGGTTACTGTGAATATATACATAAGTCTTGTAGTCCTGACGTGACTAGCCTTTCGGGAGACATTGACTTGGGAAAACGGGACAAGAAACGCACGAAAGAAAAACTACTTCGAGGGGTGGAGGAAATTCACAGCATCATGAACGAACGCTTTGGACCAAAGGTTGGCACCACCGTTTCCGATATGGACAAGTTGTTGTCGGGCGTGGAGAAGTTGAACAAGATTTTAACGTCTCGTTTGCAAAGCAACGGTGTCAGCCTACCCCAGCCTGGTTCGATGAACTTAAATATCATTTTAGGTCAAGAAAATAGGGTTGGTAACGCAATGATTAGTGGGCTAGCAGTGGAGAGTGAGGTGTTGGTTGCACAGGGTGAAAGTTCGAATCGAAAGCCAAAGTCTTCTCAACAAAAAGAAGACAAAAACAAAAGGAATATTGAACAACAAAATGGAAGCAGCAGCCCAAGTTCTTCGGCTTCTTCCCACCGTTCGAGCGATGGAAACGAGGGAAGATTAACCAATGGAAAGATACAAAAACAACTTGATCTTATTTTGAGCTTGATGAGGGAAGCCATCAAAAGCGGGAAGTTGAATTTCACGATCAACGGCAAAGCCTTCGTCACTGAGAGGAATGTTCAGGAAAATTTGGTCGAGGAACTGATTGGAAAAGATAGCGCATGTGACCGAGCCCAGTGTATTTCGGACTGCGGAGATGCGATGGTTGATACGCAGTGTAAGCACGGGATTTCGAACCCGGCTTGTTCCCCGGTTCACTTCGACTTCGAGGACAACGCCGATGACACTCGACACAGCCCGTTGGATTTGTACACGTCAGATGAGGTAATCGTAAGCACGCCGGTCCAGTCTCCAAATGTTTTGGACGGAGAACATCGAGCGTCGATAGATTCCGAGAGGCTTACGGCACGGTACGAAGGTAGCAGCTTCCTGTCGACGAGCAGCGCCGAATTTGCCACGACGTGCGATGAAAACGGCTTCAATTCCAGCCAGACAAGCGTTGTTTCAAACAATAACGAGCAATCACCTTCGCCAAATCCAGGTGTAAGCCAAACAAGGCCTCAAACGAAAAGATCCCATCGGCGAATTCCGCCTAAAATACTTCTCCCGTACGAGACGGGGGGCGTCCTCGGTGGGAGCTCCGAATCTGATGTCAGCACCCAAGAAGCAAAAACAAGAGTTAGAAAATACGTTGTGCATGATCGCCAGCCTGTGGTTGATGATGATTTTAGCAGCACCAGTCTTGGAACGGATGTTACCGACCATTCATGTGACGACGATAGCCAGGGCAGCGGTTTTAGTCATTACGCTGTGAATTACGGCACGAGCCCCGAACAAGATGGTCTGGTTGGTAGACAAGATGTACCCCGAGTACCTCATGTAAGATGGGCTGATACGGCTTCAGAAGCCGGCAGCACAGCGTTTCTTAATATCCGCGAAATCTCGACGTCGCCTTCCGAGTGTCTCTCCGGTGATGTTCGCCCCGAAAGCGATACGGCGAGTGCCGATGAGAGACAAATAGGGATTGAAAAAAACAGCGGACATCAGACGTATGTATGATTAGGGATATTGCGGGTTAGTCAGATTAATATAACGTCTATAATGGGCGAATTAAAGTCTTTAACAACAGTCTTTTACAGCATACCTCAAGATATTGGCATGCGGTCTCGAGGAAGCTAATTCCATTGGCATTGTTCTTCTCCAAATTCCTAACCAAAATCAGTGAATATTTAAAGCACAAAACAAAACTATAACAAGAGTTTACATAGAGCTTCAAAGACAATTGACACCATAATCCGTGAGACATTTATTAAATAATTGGAGCCAGGGGAGAATAGGCAAAAATTATCTCGTATTCCATACAGCGTCGTAGCTATTAGACCGTTTAATTTAGGGGTGTATATTCATATATTAATGTTTACATATCAAGGAACGATAGCACATAAAATAAAATAGTCGGGCATAAGAATGATGAATAAGGTATATACACCCCAGCCACAATTAAGGTTCTAGCAATTGCAACCTCCCTGATAAACCAATTAAGGTTCTAGCAATTGCAACCTCCAATAAACGGAAGGTAAACTCAGGAACGAAGGACAAGTCTTAGTAAGTATTTAGTCCATTAAAACCATCTGGATTATTGCTTCATCGTACGAAATCAGAAAACCATGTCGTTGTCATGCCAACTATCATTTTTAGAACAAAACCGTCTTTGCCCGAGCAAAGTTTATTTCGTATACAATGAAAACAATGTCATCATAGACAACAACAATTTTTCTCACGAAATATTTGTGGGGGAAAACCTTGAAAACCGGGCGTGATGCATATTTTTTTTTATTTACTTCATTAGCTGAAGACCTGTCTTAATTTCAATTAGTTTTATTAGCTGTTTTTAACCACAAACAGGCGATGTTATGGCAAACCATTGGTCAAAGCATCCTTTTGGAAGACCATTCGTGGTCATAAATTCATTATATCCGAGGTATTTTCCTCGTACGATTTTCATGAGTTCTTTGGCTTGAGAATTTCGTCCAGTTGGACTGTCGACAATCACCGAGTTTGACGATGACAAACCACGATCACGAATATCTTCAAACACTCCCTTGAGAAGCGCTTTACCAACTTCAATATCTTCACAAAACAGAGGACCGATTTTATAACCTTCCTCGTGAATGAACGCCGTTCTTGCAGCGACATAACCAACGAGCGATCCCTCTTTGTCGATTGCAGCCCGGGTGTGAGTGCCTGGTGTATTCAACCATTTCTGTAAAAACTTGCTCCGGTTGTATCCAAACACTGCTGTATCATAGCTGTAGATATCTTCCATGTTGATTTTGCTAATGCACTTCACCTCACAACAATCTGAATAGTCTTTGAGTGCATCCAAAGCTTTGGTAATATTAAGATCGTATATCCCCACAGTCCATCGTGAAATCATGTTGTGTGATTTTTCCGCTATCCTAGCTATGTCTGGACCAGAATATATTGACCTGTTTTTCGCGCCAATCGAGTTAGCAAGACAGATTTGATCAATTTTTGTTCCATATCAACGATGCAGGGCCGGATTAACCTATCGCAGGGCCCGTAGCATTTTTTCAGCGCGGGGCCCCTAAACCCCCCCCCCCCGGCGGGCCGAAATTCAGATTGTCCTGAAATCAAAATATAATATGTGTACCATGATGTGCAAAAATAACTCTATGACAAATAAGAACGTATGTACATGAATTTTAACTTTCATCCAACCCAGCTTATCAATAGCAATAGCCAGCTCTATCAATATACACTACTCTCATCTCTACTCAGTAACATAATCTGATGTAAGGTTTAAAATGTACGTGTAAGACGTAATGAGACGTCGTGTCAAATGACACCTGCGCTCCGGTGAGACAAATAGGCAATGAGTCATGTCTAAACTGCAGTTTATGCAAGATTCTAAAATGAATTTCTTAAACAAACTTTTAGTAAATACCTACTTTTTGGAATAACGTTATTTTATTTTGTGGCCATGCGGCTTTGGTTGGGGCCCTTTCGGCGTGACGGCGTCGACTCACGCGCAAAAAAAATTATAACCAAGTAAAGCGCGGGGCCCCTAAAGCGCGGGGCCCATGGGCGGACGCCCTTCAGCCATATGGTTAATCCGGCCCTGCCACGATGTCGATATTGCTCTTCAACGCAATACGAGCCCAAATGATGATAGCCGTTTGCGTATTTTATGATTGAACGTGTAGCAATTGGTTTGCCATCTAACTCGCCAACGTAAAAAGCTGTCGGGTCCAACTCAAGGAAACAGTCGATATCATCGACACAAGGACGCCAGCCTTGCCGCGCAAGAAGCTCTTGGTAATAGTGTTTAAGCAATCTTGTTGCTGGTTTGATCAACCGAACGTGAAGCATTTCGTTAATGACAGATATGTTTGTGAACCCAAGCGAGGTGAAGCGGTTGTTGAAATGTGAAGTGATCGCTGAAAAGCGTGACGTCAAATCCGTAAAAAATTAACAACAACGTTATGTTTACGTAAACTGCCATATTTCTAGACGATTAGACAAAACTGTCCATATATCAAACACTATATATTGGTTTACTATAGGCCTAGTTCTAAAATTTGTGCGATTTTTAAATCTGGGCACGTCGAATTTTTATTATATTCAAAGCAGAACCAATATGCAAACTTGAGTGCACGGATATTACCTTTTTTAAAATCCGTTTAAATAATTAAATACGGCCGAATGAACATAGGTCGTTATAAATTGAACGTTATCAATTTACAATAAAACTTGTTAGGGGCTTAGGGCTACTTTCTATTGTCGCAATTTTTGCAGGTGCGTACACGCACGTAAAAGTTAAAAGCCTGCATGATTTCCATATGACGTCGACCTGTGGCCGACTCATTCAGTTTCAGAAACACAAAAGATTTCACTCATCAATAATCACCGGCAATAATACTTTGCCGACTTCGACGTAATATGGAAACACGATAATTTAGGAAGTGTTTATTCATATATAATATATTCAGTTCTGCTCGATGGATTTGTTTTGTAAGTGCAATCGCTTACAGTAGAAATCTGTCGGGCACATAGGTCGGGCAGAACTGAATATACGAATAAGGCTGTTTTACGTACACGCGCGTAAAAGATTAAGGGGCTGTTTACATGAGCCCGGTTACCCGAGATTCAACGAAGCGTGAGAGGACTTTGAGGTATTGAAATAAGTCTTTATGACACCAAACAAGCACATGCTATTATTGTGGTGATTATATGACTGCCAAATCATGTTATATGCTCATTCCAATACCTCAAAATCATCTCACGCTTCGTTGAATCTCGGGTAAACGGGCTCATGTAAACAGCCCCTAAAACCTTCTTCAAGAAGAAAAAAAAACAAATCATCAACAGTACGAAACTATAAACTAAACAAGTATAGATCACTGCACGGGGCCGGTTGTATAAAACTTTATAACTAGATTTTGAGCAGTTAAATGGTAGTCTGGTAGAAAACACGAGATTCTTATCAGCCAATTTTGCCACGAACTATAAATTAAAGTTAACTGTAGTCGTTCACCCCAAGTCAAGATGGTCTGCATAGTGGTGAAGGAAATGCTCTCCCGAGATTAAAGGCGGAGTTTCGAGCCCGTTAAAGGAATGCTTTTCACTGGAAATTCCAGTGTATCGTATCTTGAATACTATCGTAACTTTTACTTCTTCAACATTTATTTTAATAACCAATTAAAAAAAATGAGTATTCTAATTTCCAACGATATCTGTCGTAATAAATCCACAATGTTTACAAATGGATTGAAATTAGTTATGTTCAGTACATATGTCTAGCCAAATAGAAAATAGAGACAAAAAGGACAAGCATTTGAGCATTAAAACGGCGTGGTTATCCTTATCAAAAGTTTGACATCATAACCAAAGCATGGTTATATTGTTCAATGTTTGTATGTGAGCGCCAAACATGCTGGAAACTTTCATAGGACAATTATTTCACCATTAAAACAGCGTGGTTATCCATGTCAAAATATTTGACATCATAACCAAAGCATGGTTATATTTTTTGTTTGTATATGAGCGCCAAACATGCTGGAAACTTTACATAGGACAAGCATTTCACCATTAAAACATTAGCTTTAAACTGCTTGTTTTGGTCTTTTTGGGAACTTGTTTGGTTTATACTTTATAGATCGTCAATACAGTAAAAACGCGAGATCAGCGTCAAAATTGCTAGAGCCCAGCCCAATCGCGGTTTGCCGCCATATAAAAATACGGCGTTCGAATTTTTTTTCCTTTTTTCCGGAGACAACGCAAAGAAGTGTTTTCTCTGCAACACGTGTTTCAAAAGAATGGCTTCCTTGGAAAGAAACTATTTTTGGGGTAAATTTTTTTAACCTTTCCTACCCAAAATCGAGTAATTTTCTAACGCCATATGCTTGTCTAGGTTGTACGCTGAGCAAAGACAAGCCCGAGGTAGAATGGCTTGGTTTAGATGCCAAAGAAAGCCCTGTGGAAGTCGACATTTTAAACCAACTTGCTCTCAGTCAGGCACGTATATAAAAGATAAAACGTCCTATTAATGTTAAACCGTCGATTGATTTGTGTAATCCAATGCTATTTTGCCGGTTCAGGTTAGTGTTTCATGCATAAGGTCGCTCGATTGTTGAATTTCACTCGTTGTTTGCCGCAAATGTGCAAAAGTTGCAGTGTTTATTTTAACTCGAATTTAATACCAGTATTAAAATCTTTCATGATTTGATTTGGCTGTGAAGACAAGTATATTCGCCATGAAATAAAAGTGGTAAAACATACTTTTTAAACTGTCCAAAATGCTAAAGGGTCCTGTTCCAATCTACCATGGCCAGATCATCATGTATGGTGCATTTATTCCGTTCAAGTTATTAGCCAAACTGCTGAAGATTTGGCAAAGTTTACCATGCCAATGATCTGCAGTTAATCTGCATGAAATCCATTTCAACTGGCTATTAACAAAGCGAAACCATCTATCTCAACAACACCAGGTCAACCGACTTTACGTTGGGAAACATGGTTGATATTCTCAATCAATTATCATTTCGAATGCAGTTCTGTTCTGATAGCCATGCTTAGGATATTAGGAAATTATTCTTCCCAAAATGATGACCATGACGCATTTCTGAAGAGCGGTGGTTTTGTTCTATGTTGATCACCACGAAACTCTCGAGCTGATTGGGAAAAACAATTGCATGGTTTGAGCGGTTTTTTATGCTTTTTTGCTGATATTTTCCTAACATTTCTTGTGATTACACCCATTTTTTCAGGCATGCCTTGGGCCGAAAGCAAAAGACAACTCTCATGTTGTACAGGTCACAACAAAAGGTGTCAACGACAACTCAATAACACAGCCTATTATCATTCTTGGTTCTGGAGTTAGGCAGGTAAAAAATGGCAAGAATATTTCTTATTAATATAGTACCGGTAGCCAAAATACACAAATGATTATTGAAACCAGGTGAATATATTTTGAGCAAAACTTTTGTAAAGTCATGGAAACATACCCTTGATGAACTAACCTTATTTACACAAGGATTCAAGCCTGCATATCTCTCAAAATTTTGTCATTAAGAAGAAGTTATTTTCTTCAAGTATTTTACCTAGCTTTTTAACTATCCAGTAAATCTTTTTAACAGGTACAGTGTCGACTAGAGTTTAATTCGGAAGCGACCTTCAAACTTATTGAAGGTAAAGTTCTTGATAATGTTTATTTATAACTGGTAGATTTAGGCAGGATTTTTTCATGTTCTCCCCAATCATAATTGAAATTTTCAAGAATTTGGTCTCTTATATTTTGAGAACTTTGTTTTGAATATATTGTAGGAGTTGGACCAGTTCATCTGTCTGGTAGTCACATTCAAGGTACATTACATTAATTTTTGCTTTTTTAAAGGTACAAAATTGTTAAGATAACTAAGTTTGTTTTTTATAAAACCTCTAGTGTTATCCGAGGGTTATGTTGACAGTGACGAAGAGGACAGCATTGGTAATTGTAGTTGAATTATGTCTCTAAATACTTGGATTGTGTAAGCTAGTTTAGTGAGGCTTTTTGAGATCAGTTGTGAATGAAGTATCTGGTCATAAGGGTTTGATCATGTCTTTGCAAGTTTCTGGATATATCAAAGTCAGAGATATGTCATCCAGTTAAGAAAATAAGGATGGTCATAGATACCAAAATATGTTGAGATCAGGGACTTGACATTTAGTTAAATCTTGAGATCACTATCTGGTAAACTATTCAAAGGAATGACCATCCTACATTTTTCACAGGATTGTAATGAGCAAAACAAATTAAACTTGTAAATTAAGATTAGTAAATCACTGTTCAGTTAAAGTGACTGGTATAATTGCAGTCACACTTATACATATGAGATCAATTTTTATAATTCTGAAATCAATATTTTTTATATTTTAGATGAAGGCATTGCATCCGGAAAACTATTGTCGGTAAGACTTACATTATTTATCATCACTTGTAATAGTTTAAATTATTTCCATTGTGTTGTTGAAAAACCATATCTGATATTTTAACCCTTTGTTTGTGTTCAAACCCAGCCACCGAATGTAAAACGACAAAATCCACCCAAGTCTGGAAAAGAACAACGTCCGGCCGCTAAGAAAGCAAGGCTTGAAATAGTCAATGGTAAGCTTTGCTAAATGAATATATATATATAGCTCTATTATTTGCTTGTATTGTGGGGTATATTTTGTTACATTGCCAGGTTCGAATTCATTTGTTTATTTTGATAACCCTCAGGCAATGATGCATCCAGCGATGAGGAACCAGACCAACTCATCCCGATAAATCTGAAAGACGACAAGGCAAAGGTAGCCAAAGGAAAAGTGGACAAAACAAAGAAACCAGCTGTTGACACCAAGTCGAAGAAACCAATTTCAGCTCCTGCGAAGGTATTTGAAAACCAAGAACAACATTTCTGCCCAATATTCCTAATATAATAATTTTGAAAGGCGATTTATAACTTGAATAATCAATTTTTGTGTGGGAACTCTTGATATAATTATTTGCATATAATAACTACACATTTGTCTCGCACAATTCGCACTCGCCATGACGAATATGCCGCCATTTTTGAGATACTTTTTTTCAAAACCGTAACCTTGGGCGCCTGTCTTTGATTTTAGGTTGAATTTATTCTTCAAATGGTCTGTTGATTCTGAAGAAGTTTCTTAATTTTAAAGTTGTTATAGCTAATTTACTGAATTCGTTTCATAAAAATCGATTTTTTTTTCACAGAAGGCCAAGTTAGATGAGGATGACGAAGATGATTCCGAAGACGACGAGGATGATGATGATGATGATTTCGATGTCGATTCGGAAGATGATGACGATGATGAAGATGCGTCCGATAGCGATGATGATGATGATGACAGTGATGATGATGACGATGATGATGACGATGATGACGAAGATGATGAAGACGATGAAGATGATTTCGATGAGGAATCAGATAAAGAGGAGGAAGGCTTAACCCAGGTACGAATATTTCACTGGAAGTGAAACGCCGGGGGGGGGGGGGCGAAGTGCAGCTAGAATTCGTGCGTTCGGCTATATTTTGTCTTCTTGTTGGTTACATGTGGCTGGTCCTAACTCAAAACATCAAAATTCTTGTGGCGGGTACCATTTTATGATTCGATATTTCACTGAAATCTAATCCATGCAATTTTGGAGGTTTTAGTTTCACAAAATAGTCACAAAGCATAGTCACTGACCGCCTAATACACTGGATAGCGCGACTTATCGTTAAAACAATAATGCAGAAATGGTGCTTGCGGTATGTGCTACAAATAAACGTTTGTTTCTACAGAATAAAGGAAAGCCCGCAAAGGTTACCCCTGGAAAGAAGAAAGAGGAAAATAAAACGCCTGGAAAGAAACAAACGCCGAACAAACAGACGCCAAAGAAGGTAGTGTTGGTAATTTCCCGCTCTTTCTAAAACTGACTGAAATATGAATTCTGGAGTTATAGTCCGTATTGTTGAAACGTGAAAAATGCTCGATACGTCATCGGTCAAGTTATTTTGCTTTTTGCGGCTTTTCTCCCGAAGATAAAGGTAGGGTAGGGGGGGGGAGGTCTAGGGGCACACCCGCCCTTTTCTGAGATGGCATTTATTCTGGAGTTATAGTCCGTATTGTTGAAACGTGAAAATGCTCGATACGTCATCGGTCAAGTTATTTTGCTTTTTGCGGCTTTTCTCCCGAAGATAAAGGTAGGGTAGGGGGGGGAGGTCTAGGGGCACACCCGCCCTTTTCTGAGATGGCTAAGTGAATAAATAAATATATTTCTGATGGCCAAGCGAGATTGTGATGATTCTTTCACTCAGGGTAACATGGAAGCTTCTGTAAATCTACCAAAGACGCCTGACCTGAGCACCGTAAAACAGAAACTTTTAAAGGTTTGTTTACAACGTGAATTTACCATCTGCATAGAGCCGAACGTGGGATTTTAGAAGGGAATTGTTTTATGTTTTAGTCCCCGAACCTGCCGAAAAAAATGGACAAGTTTAAAAATTTCATGAAAACAAATATGAAAATCACTGACGAAAAGGTGGGTGCAAAGAATTGATACGTTTGATCAGCAACAATGATGTATTTCAAGAGGGAAATGCATATTAAGTTTGACTTCAAACTTGTTCAAACAGCGATACAGTAAATACTGTACATTATCCCAGTCAACTTCACATGTGTCGATGAACTCAGTTGAAGGCCATTTGATGGTACATACTTCTCACTTGCTTAGGTTGTTAAAGATATGTGGACATTCGTTCAAGCGAACAAGAAGTAGGCTCGTAACAAACAGTGGATGGAACTAGCTTGCGTTACCGTGCGAGTTAAATTTCCCCATAATAATGTATACAATTCACATTCAGGACTATATATAATGCTGGACCAATAAATGGATGCTAAAATCCTTGACCGGTATCCAGGTTCATGCGGGTTGTATGTTACATAAAATGCCTTTTTATACAGAGGGACGTTTTTATCCATCATGTAAATTGCATGTTTAGTTTAGGGTTGTTTTATCGCGTGCTGCGTATTGACATGAGAAATAAAATTGCTTTTAAACACGTAGAAAATATGCCGGTTCCTTTAGTCGTTTTGTCATGACAAATCGTTTTCGTCGATGTGAAATAGTCCAGATGTACGTTTTTCTTTTTTTCTGTATTCAAATCGGTCATTCTTTAACTGTGCTTTGTGCACACACGTGGAGATATTCTATCACATCCGCCACCTTGACATGTTCACGACAATTACGATGAAATATTAGAGTTTTGGTTTTCTGTTAAAAAAAACATGATTTACGCACTCTGTCGACATTTATCTATCTAAAATGACGCTCGATTTACACTGTTAAATTTAGGTGGATAATTTTCATGTCTGAAGGAGTGTGTTGCAAATTTTTGTGGGGACTTTAACTTGAACTATTTAGCACGTTTCAAGCGTGAAATAGTTTTTAAAAATGTCAAAACTTGACATATTACAACAACTGCGATCTCAGGAATTGAGCATGACGTCATTTTGTATCTAGTAATGATATTCTGCATTCTTTGGTATCGTCGTACGTCTTGTTCAAACAACTGATGCTATTTTCGTTTGCTTTTCGTCTGCCTTCATTTTGAAAGCTCGTTCCCTCGGCTTTTAACTCTTGTGTTAACTTGTATCTCGCGCAAAAGTTGTACATAAAAATTGGCGGGAAATATCTCAACGAAGTTTGAAAATCGTCCGAGCCAGAGGTAGGTTTCTAACCATGCGAGGATTAGCTTGCCAACTTCACCAATCATAACATTCGGCTTTGCTAAGATCAATGTCTCGGTGTTTTATCTTTACACGCAGGTAAATGCTCTCATCTTCATTTTCGAATTTTAACAACACTTGAAAATTAAACTGGCAAGCTAGACTCCCGGTAAGTGTTGACAACGTTTTTGTTGCAAGTCGTACTGGCATATGGATATAGTTTATAGTGGCGGTTTTAACATGTTACTGTGCAAATAAACCGCTCATATTTTAATTTTATAAAGTTTAATCGCGTGTAGGATGATGATGATATATTTATAGTCTTGCAAGAATTGCTTTTCGTCTACAAAAAGTTCGTGGAATTTTGGCAGGCAGCCTTAGTACATTTCTCTTTTTTACGAGATTGTAATCTCTATTAAGAAAGCTGTTAATCACAACTTTTCAACCTGTTCCTGATGGTTATTCAGAAATTATTGAATTGTGAAGCTTATTTTGCCTTTCTTGTCGGTTTTTTCGGTTAAAAAAAACGTAAAACGCGCATACTTAAGTCAATTCTTCTTCGAAAAATGCTATATCTGACCTGTTGTCTAAAATTCAAATGAATGGGGGTTAAAAGCTGGGAAAATTGGGAACAATTCGAGCGAGTTATAAAGAATATCTCGACTAAAGCAATAAAGATAATCCAGCCGGTATATTGTCTCAATAATCCTTTCCTAAATAACGAAATCTCCAGTTAATCCAGGTTTGTTTACAGAGGTAAATTTTCATTCCAAAATTTCCGTTTTTGCTCCATAGACCATACATTTCTAAACCGGAACAACTGAGCCTGAGTTGAAGAAAAGTTCATAATATATCTTCACAGAACAATTATAATACGACAAAACACTTTTACATCTGGGATGATGAACCAAACAACGGATAAGATGGTGTCATTTGAAGATGGCCAAGTCGTGTTGAATTATATTTTTCTCTGCATTCTCTTCATCGCTATCTTGGTAAACAATAGTCTAGTCTTGACGGCATCGTGGAGTCAAAAGCGTCTTCATTCTCAACTCAATGTTATCGTCCTCTCTTCCATGGCTCTAGGTAAGGTTATTTGTCTAATAAACAGACTTCAGAGAGGTGCGACTTAGAATTTGCCGTTGAGTTGACAAGCGAGAGTTTACATGAGAGTTTCATTAACTTTCTTTTCTTGATCAAACGAAAACAAGAGATGCATGAAGTTAAACAGCGAGAGTGTACATTTGAGTTTTGTCAACTTCCTTGATCAAACGAGAACAACAGTTGTATCAGAGTTTACAAGCAAATGTTTATATGAGAGTTTTAATTTAAAAACTTTTATTTCTTGATCAAACAACTGAAACAAGGACAAGAGTTGCATGAGAGTTGACAAGCTGGAGTTTGTATGAGAGTTAACAAGGGGGAAATTCATTTCAGACCAATCAGCAAGTTTGTTTACAATGTTGGTGACCCAATCAGAATGTATAAATTTTGACTACTTCCGGTAAAAAGGTACATAATTTACCATTTTACACGAAGTATTGAAAATGTAGACATTCAGATTGTCTTTACCTAAAAATGTAAACAAATATGTCGATTAGTTTTAAACGAAATTCCATATTGTTATGACAGTTAATATCAACTTTCCTCGAGCGAAAAGCGTCTTCAAAGTTGATCCTTATTTTTGATTCAAGCTCAAATGATCGGAGGTCTGATGTCGATTCCAATCAACATGGCGCTAGTTCAGGATTACGAAGAAGATCCGAGGTTGGACTTTTCGGTTGTTGTTGCGACGTTTTCCGGTGTCGCAAGCCAGTTGCTCCTGAGTATCGTTTGTGTTGAACGTTACCTCATTGTGGCGAAGCCTGTTGTCCACGGAAAACTGAAACGAGGTAAATATTTTAGCCATTTTAGGACGTAACAAATCATAACATGTCGTATCTTTGAATAGATAATATGAGAGCCTTCTTGGAGAAGATTTCTGCATGCTTTTGTAGTTGTAGGAATTTCTTTAACTAGTTTAGTAATAAAATCTTGATAAAATATTTTTTATCCAGGATATGTTATCATTTCATGTGTTATCGTTTGGTTTCTCTCTCTACTGGCTGCATTGCTGTCGTTGGTAGATTTCAAGAACTATTCAATATTCCTCGTGACTGTGTTTTTCATATTGCCTTTTCTTGTGGAAGTTTTTGGCTATGTGCTCCTGTACTGCTGTTCGAAAGGACGCACTCAAACAACTCTGCTCAGAAAGGTAAGGCGATGAAATATATTCGTTCATGTTGCATAGAAAGGTTGCTAACCAGAAGCTCTAAAAATTACGACTACATCGATTATAAATACCCTAAAAAAGCGTAACAATTACATTAAATAAATGAAATGATTTGTTGCATATATCATTTAAAGATTCTTTTTTTCAGGAACTTCGTCTGGCTAAATGGTTTGCGATTTTCACGTTTATATTCAATGTTCTTTGGCTTCCTTTCATCGTCACCATTCTCCTGCGCGATCACTGCGAATCATGTGATACGGAGCGTGGTTCGCTGTTCCTGTTTATCCTGTATTTCCAGTTGCTTAGCGACGCAATATCGGCCATGATATACTACCGAGCAAGCCTCGATTTCCGTCTAGCCTACAAGATAGTCTTCTCAGAATTGCGCAACATGATATGCAGAGGCGCGAATTCGGATAACCCACAAGACGTCGCAATGCATGACGGTACGATACGACGTGACGCTAAGGAGAATCATGTGAACGAGGCGATGTATTGGAACGAAGAAGCGAGCAGAAACGCCCGACACAATGATTCTTCTCTGCGCCATTCTCGAACAGCTGACCCGTCATCGAAGGCGGATCACGAAGACGTTCACATAGTGCCTTACGAACAGACCAAATATTTTAGCGGGAACTTTGGAGCGGAGGAGGATATTCAAGGGGTAGACGGTGATAATGATGGTGTTCTTACGCTCGATGACGAGTTTGGGTTTCATGATATTGACATTATTCCTTATGATCAATCTTGTTAAAGGCAGTTCCTTCATTGTCGTTGTGAAGACGTTTGAAAAGCTGAGGTGGGCGCAAAAATGAAGAGTTCTCCTCCAAAACCAGTACCTTGCAACGCAGTCACTCCTTCGGTCATTGAAGTAGCACGTTAAAACGTCTGTTATTTACAGAAACACTGGATACTGTGATGTGTCATTTTAGAGTCTTTTAAGGTGACAATGGCAAGGCGTGACAAGGCGACTCATGTTTATTTGACTTTCTTTATATAAGGTGGTGGGAATTTTGCTCAGTTGCCACATTGGATTCTGTTCTAAATTCCTTACATGTTTGAATGTGATGTTATGATAAACTTTTATTTTTTATATCTACATTGTATGTTTATTTTAACTGAATTAAGTACTTAGATCGGGCGACTTTATCCGTCAGCTAAAGATGACGCAATTTCCTTTGCAACTTAGTCGGAAATGTACTCTTTTGTGTAATCCTGCCTGCAGCTTGTCTAGCAGCATTGCGATAAGAAAAAGAGCTGGCTACTTTCTAAGCAAATTGCAATGCAATTTTTTTTTGAAAACTAGTACATTACGGCCTCTTGTAGTGGTTGAATATAAATTAACATGAATTGCATTGAACGGGACCGCTGAAAGTCTGGAGACGAGATAATGGCGTAGCGGAGGTCACGTGTCGTCTCCCGCCAAATTCTCGTTTGTAAACCTTGGACAAAATGGAGTAAAATTCTGCAAGAAAAGCTGTTGTAAATATCGTGTTAGAGTCCTCGATTACTACCGTATCTTGTAAATAATGTACATCAAGCAGGTAAGATAGTATTCTTCACGTTTTTAAGGCTATGAGATCGCCGTGTTGTTCCGCCAAAGCTTAACGATCGGTGTGTAAAATTACATGTCAGAAATTTGTTGTCAAGTGCGTGACCATTGTACAAATGCAGATCGTGTCTATTTGGGTGTTTTTCTTGTATGTCTTGGTTGTAAGGTCCTTTGTAGTGGAGATCGAGAAAGAGAAAACTCAGTTATTGCGCTTTAATAGAAACATTCATGATTATGGCTAGATTTTGAAGATAACATGAAATATCGATGAAAATTAAATGGACACTTGTGGCATTGTTTAGTATAAACAAAGACATACAACGCTTTGGATCAAAATGTCGGAATAAGCTGTATCTAAAATTGAATTTCTTTCTTGTATAGGTTATAATCCAGGGTTTTCGAAGTTATAGAGATCAAGTTATCATCGATCCTTTCAGTCCAAAACATAACGTAATAGGTATGTCTTGTCAGAACTGAAGAATGACTATGCAATGAAAATAAGAGTTTTAGTGGCAGATTATTAGCTGATAAATGCTATCAAGCATAGGCCAGGTGCACTAAAATTTTGCCAGTCTAGAATATTGGGTACCATGTTGACTAACTTTTGCAGTCTAGGCTTGTATAATTTATCCAAACTTTGACGAACTCTGAATTACTTGCATTAGACTGAGGCCTGTTTCCGACTCCAAACTTTTCATCTGCCAAATTGAATGCAAAGGTACATGAAAAGTTCAAAGTCTAAATCTGCCCTAAAAGCCCATTACCACTATGCACAATTTTTGGTATGGTACAGGGAATATTGGTACGGATAAAATTAATAATAGGTAGTGAAGTTTCATCGGTACCAATTTTATCTGTTTACATCATTTCCAATTGAGATTGATGAAATTTGGACTACCTGAATAGATTACCCAAATTTCATTTGCACCAATTTCATACATGCCTATTTAAAATCTTGCATACCGTAAATCTGGCTTAATAGGAATAGTGCAAAACAGGAATAGAAAAACTCACAACAGGTGCAGTAACAGTAAACTTTGACTGTCATTTTATAGTCGGTCGAAATGGTTCTGGGAAAAGCAATTTTTTCTATGGTAAGGTCTTTGATATTATTCTTATATGAAGTAATTGCAGTGTTCTTTAGTTGCAATATGGCTTGTCAAATGATATGGCTTGTCGTAAGAGATATTTAATTCACAAATCTTTTAACAAATAGAGATATCTAATGTATGACAAAGTGGGATATATTAATAATAATAAGCTTAGACCTTCATCAAGGTGTAATTTGGGCTAAACATCTCTCATCATACAATAAATAGTATATATTCCTTGGCATTTGCCCCAAACATACAGTTACCATATATGGACACAATGAATGACATTTTTACAATGCTGTATGAATAAGGGTGGACTTCTTTTCATTTAGCAATCCAGTTTGTCCTCAGCGATGAGTTCAGTCACATGCGACAGGAGGAAAGACAAGCTCTTCTTCACGTTAGTTACCATTTTCTTTTTCATTGAAACTTTAAAGTAAAATACTGTACTATGTCAATTGACTCTTTCAAAAAGTGTGATCAGTCAAAAATGAGACCAAGCTGAACATTATGTTCAGTCTCAGAACCTGTGAAGGACATTTTTTATGCTTAAAACTGCCAATTGCTGTATTTATTCATTCAAGGGATATTCCATTCATATTTTTTTTTCAACAGGAAGGCAGTGGTCCAAGGGTCATTTCAGCCTTTGTTGAAATCATATTTGACAATTCTGATAACAGACTGCCTGTAAGTTTATATCTAAAAGACAACTATTTCATGCATTTTTCTTTATTCGGTTCAAAAATTTCACCCCAAAATCCTCAATTTCATCCCAAAAATCCTCAATTTCACCCTACCAAAAACTGGGGGCCATTTAGGATTGTTGAAATTCTACACTATAACACTTTGCCGGATCGCTTGGTTGCTGCTGTTTCAGATTGACAGAGAAGACGTTTCATTACGAAGAGTAATCGGTTCAAAAAAAGACCAGTATTTTCTGGACAAAAAGAATGTTACGAAAACAGACGTCATGAACTTACTGGAAAGCGCTGGCTTCTCAAGAAGCAATCCTTATTACATTGTCAAACAGGGAAAGGTGTGTAAAAAAAATCAATATTGTAGGAAATGAAATTGAAACGAAATATAAAGTATCTTTGAAACGAAATTTCAGTTACATATTTGTCAAGAAAACCCAACTTTTGTTAAAATTTTGGTAATATAACGACACGAGGAAATATTTTTTGCAGTTGGTTAATTTTATAATTTGTTGAAGAAAGAGCTCTGAAATTATACTATCGTATATGTTTTAATCAGTTTTTGACTGGAGTCGTGTGGTCTCTATTAGAGATTCAGTAGAAATGCATCTTTTACTAGATCAATCAACTGGCAACGGCTAAGGATCACGAACGATTGAAATTACTTCGGGAAGTTGCGGGAACGAGAGTCTACGACGAACGCAAGGAGGAAAGTAAACAGATATTGAACGACACTGGTGAGCCCCCTTCCCCCCCCCCTCCGGCTTGAGGAAAAATAGCTGAAATAATACTAGAAACTACTGGTTATAATCCATGACTTTTGCTATAGAATGTATTCTGATCCAGGCTTGAATTTCGAAATCTGAAAAAGCTAGATAGAGCATCTTAAAATGCGTTAAACGGCTAAATTTGGTAGTGAAAAGTTTTTGTCTATAATAAGATCTATAGCTGAAGTCATGAAATTGTTTTAAATCAAGTTTTATCCAGTTTTTCTCTTGGTGAAATTACTTGTATGCAATTGTCGTGTCTTAGAAAATAAGAAGACAAAGATCGAGGAATTACTGACGTATATCGAAGAACGGCTGGAAACTTTACAAACAGAAATGGAAGAGTTGAAACAGTATAAAAAATTAGATAAAGATAGACGATGCATTGAATATACGATACACGAGAAAGAACTGCAAACGACCAGAGCAAAACTGGAGGAGGTATTCATCGATTAAATTTGTCGAATTTTACCTAAACTCTGGGGGGAAATATCCCCCCAAAGCACCCAATACTTCAACAGAATTTTCAATCTGCGTGCAACAATGATTACAACAATATATTTTCAAACATCTTGTTTAGTTTGAAAAAAATCGTCAAGATGGAATGAGTCAAACGACAAAGTTGAGGAAAGATGCTGCAGAAGCCGCCGATAAAATTGAGGTAAATACAAAAAATATGGTATGTTTGTCTTGTTGAGATAGATGTCCAAATGTTTAAATAAGAACTGAGTCAACAAAACAGCACAATTCTCGAGGCAGATATATTTTCAATTGTTGTGTACTAGAAGTGTTTTTATTATGTCTTGTTATTAACCCGAATTAGGAATACACAGATGTCGTGCGGAAATTGAAAGATAAATTACTTGACTTGAATGAGCAGAAAGCTCAGCTTGATGAAGAAAACAGAGAGCTTATCAAGACCAAAACTAAACTGGAGCTCGATATCAAAGACTCGGCAGATGCCGTCAATGAATTTCATTCGTCAAAGGTTAGTTTCACCCGAGGCCTAGTCGATGATCCCCGAGTTTTTTACGGTTGATAATCTATGTTTATTATAAAAAATATCGCATTCCGTGATTTGACAACAAGACTTATTTATGTAAATTCAGCATTTTGAATAAAGCCTTTAAATAGCTAACTTATTAAGCAAAGAAAGCCGGCAAAAGCTTACTATAAACGGCTTTTTGCGAAACAATATTTTCATTTTTTAATTAATTTTTTAAATCATTTAAAATTCAATTTTTCCCGCCGAAATTTAGCAGTCCCATGCTCTTGCTAACCGACCGCGCATAAGCCAATCAGAATGCTCCATTTTGTAGACATTCTTGGTTGGCCAGGCTTCCTATATGAAATCGCATAGCAAACTATCACTTGATCTTTTATTTGTTTTTATCGATTTTCTCATTTTTTATTTTAGGATGCTCACGAGAAAGAGCTTGAAGATGTCAGAAACAGAATCCAACAAGGACAGTCGAAGCTGGACGAGTTGTTGCCTCGGTTTAACAGGTTGAAGACAACGGAAGAAGAATGTACTCAAAGGTGGAAATTTTAGGGAATTTTTAGTCCGATCAAATAGAGATTGGATATTGAAAATATGTTGATAATATATTAATTCAGCTGGGGCCGGTTGTATCAAACCCGTTTAGCTTAAACGGTGGATAAGTCAAAATTAAACAACACTCTTACATCTCTCTTGAATGAGTCAAGTTGAATATTATGCACTGAATATGTAGTTGTAAACAGTGTCTTTGTATTAAGGTTAAAAACATTTAGTTTGCTTGTTGAATGAAACGATAGAGTTGCTTTCTATTATGAACTTAACCACCGTTTAAGCTAAACGGGCTTGATACAACCGGCCCCTGTAGGTTAAAGTTTGATCTAGGCAAGAAATTATGAATTGAATATCTGTGTTTCAGGATGGCGGCATGCGAGCAGAGACGATCGCAATTATTTTCAAAGCAAGGACGAACCAACCAGTTCCGATCAAAAGAACAGCGGGACGAGTGGATAAACCAGGAACTGAGATCTTTAACAAATGCCATCGCAACAAAACAATCGCAAATCCATGGGCTCAGAGCCGCCGTACAAAAGTTGAACGCCTCAAAAGAAAGCACCAATAATGATATGCGGGTAGCGTGCACTGATCTCGTGTAATACACTGGATTACAATACAACATAGTTTTGTTCTTTAAAAAATTTGAACATCAAACAATTTCACTTGCCCTTGTATTCGGAAAGGTCCGTCCATTGTCGGCGATTTCCGATCAGTGAAACCTGCGTTTGGGAGATAAATTTTGGGAATTTTTTCTTTAGGAAAGGAAAGAAGACTTAGATAGGAGGAAACGATTGATCGATGAATCAAACACAAAGAAATATGCTTTGACGAAAAAACGAGATGAACAAACAAACAAGAGAAAGTTAGTTTGAAATAAACAAACCTTCCAGCAGTTTTTCCATCGTAGTTCAGAGAAGTTCATTTCGCCGCCATCTTTAAATCCAAGATTGAACCAGTGCCAGTCTCTTTCTTATGTTTCAGTCGGCGCGATCGTCGACCGTAATCACAAAAAAGACTGGCACTGGTCCTTCAATTCGGTTTCAAATTGGCTTTAAAGCTGGCGACCGAGTTAGCATTCCAGTTTATAATATAGAGTTCATCGCCTTAGCTATTCCAATGCAACCAGATGGCATAAGTTACAGTAGAGTTACTCAAATGAAATCAGTATTACCCCAGCTAGCTTCGCACGTTCTGAGACTGTCCAAACTCTCACGTCAAACCATTCACCCTTTTCAGGGAGTTATGGCGAAGCGAAGCAGAACTTGAGCAGAAACTTCAGAATTTGACGGAAGATCAACACAAACGCGAGAGAACACTGCGTGGATCTGTTAGCAAGGTGGGTTCAGTTGAGCTCTTTTCATGCGAAGATAAAGTTCCCGCAAAGTAAAAACATGCTGGTGTATGTGAAGATGCAGCCCCCCGCAAAATATAAACATTCTGGTAGATGTGAAGATACAGTCCCCCGCAAAATATAAACATTCTGGTGTATGTGAAGATACAGTTCCCTAGCAAAATATAAACATTCTGGTATATGTGAAGATACAGTTCCCCGGAAAATATAAATATGCTGGTGTTTCTTCCGCAGGCAATATTTAATGGTATTGAGAGCGTCAAAGCTGTTGTTCGTGATGAAGGCATTCAAGGATTTTATGGACCGCTGATTGAGAATTTCACTTGTGATAAGAAATTTTTTACTGCTGTTGAAGTAACGGCTGGGAACAAGTGAGTTTAGATAGAGCAAAAGAGCTGTTGTGATCTATATTATTCGCTGGGATGGTGCTGACTGAGTGGCCACGATTGTTACTAGCCTGGCTGGTCTAGTACTATAGTTCTGCTGTGCAATGTTTTGCTATTTCTAAATATTTTAGATTATTTCATTTGGTTGTGGATACGGACAAAACAGCGACGAATATTCTCAAGATTATGAACGACCGTAAAATGCCCGGAAGCGCGACATTTATGCCTCTCAACAAGTTGAATGCAAGAGAGACACAGTATCCGACTCACAATGTAAGATTTTCAGATATATGTAGGTTTTATGTTTTAGGTCTATTTAGTGTAGTAAACAAGAACACACTAGAGGTTATCTCAGTATTTCAAGGTTACCTCCTTGTATTTTTCATACTATCGTGTTGCAATCTTTTATTTCAGGATGTATTTCCAATGATACGTGAACTTCATTTTGATCCAAAGTTCCGTCAAGCCATGTTGACTGTGTTTGGTAAAACACTGATGTGCAGAGATATCGACGTCGCCTCACAATATTCGAAGAGCGCTAACTTAGATTGTGTAACGATGGAAGGTATAGGATAACAGTTGATAAATCTCGTCCACCCTCATAGGTCACTACTCATCATCACCCTTATAAACTCTAAGTAACCCAAATCATCACTCAGAAACCCTTATCATCCCTTCCCTGTTATCAACCCTCATCATCTCTAATTATCCCTCATCAACACGCATCAACCCTCTCTGACCCTAATCAACACTCGTCAACCACCATAATTACCCCTCATTGACCATAATAACTCCAACTTGTCCACAAAATACCCGTAATTATCATTCCAGGCGATCAGGTCAGTCGCCGTGGAGCTCTGACTGGCGGATATTACGATACGAGAAAATCCCGTCTTGATTGCCAACGCTCAATACAGGAAGTCAAGGCCGAGATCGAGACCTTCCGAGCACAACACGGGGAAATACGAGAGCAACTCGAACGTATCCCTTGCAATTAATATTTTTCACACGAAAGTAATCGACGTGAATACATGTGGTTCACGCTCTGTGCTAAAGCCTTATGATTTTGTTTTCGTAATTTCTGAATATCAAAAATCGTCCATAAGTATAAATTATAAGCAATAGGTTTTACCACCTTAACGCTGGCAACAGAGATCGATGGCGTTATAACAGGGGTTTTAGGGGAACTTCAGAGACTTGAAAGTACACTGATGGATTTAAAGTAAGCTTATGAATTGTTAGATGTTTACATTTTCGGAGCTAAGAGAAGTCCGAAGTAGTTTTGCGTCATTGTCGTGTTTTTAACCGCTAGAGAGACCTACGACAGACAGAAATCTGATGTTAAAACGAAGGTGAAAGAATTGGAGAATATGGATGAAAGTTTGACGCAAAAGGTAGACTGTTTTAGGATTATTAAGATTTCTGTTCTGCTGGTCAATGCCATAAGAAATTTCGATTGAATTTATAAAAGATGTTTTCACTTTTCTTGCAAACATCTTCGATCGTTTTGTAAAGTGTAAAGGCGTGAAGATTCTTTGGAGAAATTACACAATCAGATTTTTTACCGTTTGCTTGTGGTTTTAGAATCAACTTCTGTCGAAAATGGAGGGAGATTTACAAGCTATGATTTCATCGCAGAGATCACTATCAAGTGAACTGGGCACAGAATTGATGGCTCATCTATCCCACGAGGACCAGAGCGAGGTTCGAGGACGATTAAGACTTATACCACGCACATTTTCACAGTGTATATCAAATTTTAAAACCTTGAAAACTCTTGAAAATGACTTCAACTTATTGTGTCAAAAGATATGTTTACTTGGCGACTGCCTTGAAGTAAAAAAAAACTAAATTTATCTTGTGAAGGTTGATCAAATCAACGCAGAAATTCAGCGACTCAAAGAGCAAATGCGTTCAGCTTTATCAGAAAGATCAACGGTATGTCATAGAACCTGTTTTTATGCATGCAAAAACAGGTTTTACTTGTTTTGCTCGGTCGTAATTGGATAGTTTGTAATTATTTATGCAAATATGTTGTATGCTACAGCTTGAACCAGAGAAAAACCATTTGGAAAATCTTCTTACGAATAATCTTATGAAACATCGCGACAAACTACTCCAGGTAATGAAATGAATATATGCTTTGTGTTTGGGCAAAAAAGTCTGTTTAGGAGCGACTAGTGTCGGTCAATAGCTGTTCATTATGTGGCGGGAATTCAAAAAACGATTACAAGAAACAAAATTGCTTGAGATAATTTTGTCTTTGCGCTGGTTTTATTATCAGGAATTGGATGAAATGGCATTTCAAGGGGATGAGAAAGAGTTGAGCTCAAAGAGAGACGAACTGGCATCGCTTGAATCAAGAAACACAACAATAGTGAAACGACATCAGAGTAAGAAGTTCTCTTGTTATTTTTGAGTGGTTTCAAGCGAAAATTTAAGAAATATATAACAAGTCTTAATATGAACATTAAAATCACTCGAAAGAAAGGTAAATGGTAATAGATACAGCGCACAAACGGTGGTGCAGATTTCATTTATTATGGAAAAATATTTGTGCTGTAACTAAGGTGCAAGATTTGATGTCAGAAATTTGACAAAGTGTAAAGTTTTCCACTGGGTTGGCTTTGAAATGAGTTCAGTGAGATTCTAGACAAATGTCCAAGACAATTTTAATTTGATTCAATCGCTTGTGGTTTGATGAAGTAATGTTTATTTGTCTTTTACAGGTGTGAATAAGAGAGTTAACGAAGTTAGCGCCCAGATCAAGAGCAATGACGAAGCACTGGAGGAATGGAAGGTTTAATATTGTTTTGTTTCAAACCTTCCTAGATGTAAAAATATGTTCAGTTTTTGTTCTGAAATATTTTAAAAGATTTTCTGTATTCTCCTGAAATTACGACAGAGGATTAGCGTGTGGATTAGGGTTATGAATTAGGGTTCTGTGTAGGATTAGAGTTTGGATTAAACTTAGGATTAAGATTAAGATTTAGGATTATCGTTCATAAATCCAGTCTGTTAATAAATGTCAATATTGGCCCAATGTTAATAAATGTCAATATTGTTTTTGCTTGATGAAAATCAAACCGCTTCACATACAAGGGCTTTAAACTCTTAGAATAGAGAAAAAGATGCACGTGGAAGATTGGAAGACGATTTAAAATCCGTAGAGAAAATTGCCAATAAGAAAAGCGTTCTCGTAAAGAAGGTACAATCAGCAAGAATTTGTATTTTAATTTAAAATGGTCCAAGTGAGGTGAGGTGAGGTGGGGTGAGATTGAATGTGATGTTCTGTACTCCATTTTACAGAAAGATGAATGCATGAAAAAGATCAGGGATTTAGGATCTCTTCCAACTGATGCTTTTGAGAAATATCAGTCAACAAATGTGAAAGCGGTGAGTTTTTGAATCAAGTTATCTTTGAATTTATCCATAGCAACAGCAGTGTGTTTAGACAACTGAATATGGTTTCGTTTATCGTGTGTCTAAATTTGTTAGCTTTGGAAGAAGCTTCAGAAATGCAACGAGGAATTGAAAAAGTTCAGTCACGTCAATAAGAAAGCCTTAGATCAGTTCGTCAACTTCTCTGAACAAAAAGAAAAACTTATGAAAAGAAAAGACGAAGTCGATAAAGGGTACTCGGTAAGATAGAGATTTGGCGATCACTTTTAAAGCTAAAAATCTGTTGAACAAGATGTCAGTTTGTGTGGAATACTTGAAATATGATTGCATGGATTTCAACTTTCTGCCTGCCTTGAGTCAGGTCTATACAATTTCCACGCGCGTTGCCAAAGTGTGCAAAATTGTGAAACTTCCATAGTTGGTATTTTTTCACCTCGTGTTTTATAATCGCTCTAATGCAACATCCCTGTTCGTTTTCCCAGGCCATCACAGAGCTAATGGAAGTTCTTGAACATCGTAAACACGAAGCTATACTCTTCACATTCAAACAGGCAAGTGCCTAAATATTTGTTATGTCTTGTCTTAAAGCATAGGAATAATACTAGAGAAGATAAACATCTTATAAACTAAGATAGGAGATGTTAAAAGAAAACTAGACACAGTAGTACTTCTTGTATAAACTGTGTGTTGGATCATCAGGGACGATTGCAATTAAGAAAACAACTGAATTTGCAAAAGAACCAGGTTAACTTTGGCAAGTCGAATGCAGAAATCCAATACAAACTAGGAAGCATACTGTAGTTGGGAAAACTGGAAACAAGACTTGCTTCGCAAGAAGTAAACATATTTCCCATCAAATTCAGAAGCATTCGTTTTCCAAATTGACGTTTTGTATTTTCATTACCAAGGTTTCGTATAATTTCACGGCTGTTTTTAAAGAGTTGGTTCCACATGGGAAAGCCAATCTCGTCATGAAGACAGAGGGACCTCCTAATCTTGTAAGTTTTGTTGGTTTGTAAGTTTGTAAGTTTGTCAAGTGTAATCTTGTAAGGATTGTTTTCTGCGACCGAATATGTTTGTTATAAAGACGTCCTGTGTTGCTTTTGGGTTTATTTAGGATGAAGAAAGCAATCTAGCATCCAGCAGCCAACAGTCGAAGGTAAAGTCGCGCCGGCAAAACAATTTTTGAGTAGGATTGATAGGCAATTTCGCTGCAAATGGGCTTCGAAGATGCCGGTGAAGCTCCAGTCTTTACTGAGAGAGGTGGTCTGCCAGTAAAGGAGAATTAGAGGCGCAGGGGGGGGGGTAGTACTAGAATTCATTCAGCAGGGTGGTTTTCCAGGGATATCTCAACCTCAGCAATGGTTTTGGATATGAGTTTTATGTTCTTCACAATTTCGGTGGGTTTTTTTTCGCTAGGATGACGGTGAAAGCAGCCAAAGTCAGTCTTCAAGTAGCCAAAGTCAGTCCAAACTTCCTTCGGATAAATTTTCTGGCGTTTCAATCAAGGTATTGTCGTCTATTGTCCATAGGGACGCCATTGTATGCTCTATTTGCACTGTCACATTTTTAAGGTCTGTTCACATGATTCACTTTTGTCTGATTCAATTCGCGTTTGACGGATGGAATGTAGTCTTCTATTGATAAGCAGTATTGCACTGGTTTCTACTTATTTTGTTGCCCCTATACATTTCAAGTCAACGGACTATAAAACATCCACCAGAAGTGAATAGGATAAAAAAATGGGATTGTGCGAACCGACCTTCCATTTGACCTTTTATTTGTGATGCGAATATGCGATGTGGTGGGGTATATACAGGTCTCGCTGGGTAGAGGGGACTACACAGAGGTGCACACCCCTGTTGGCTTTGTTCAACGGGAATGCACATCGACGAAGATCGAATTCATGGGCACACTATATGACAGCATATTAGTTCCAGCACAAACGTAGCTTATTGCTATCCCAGGTATCTTTTACGGGTAAATCAGCGGAAACAAGGGAAATGAACCAGTTATCTGGAGGTCAGAAGTCTCTGGTCGCACTCGCCCTAATCTTTGCAATACAGCGCTGTGATCCAGCGCCATTTTATCTTTTTGATGAAATCGATCAAGCTCTTGATCCGCAGTACAGAACCTCTGTAGCAGGTGAGTTTCAAATGTATTCATCTTGTAAACAAAGCACTTAAGTTTACTGGTTCTCTGAAGGGTATGTATTGTATCACTGATCTGCTAATACACTGGATATAGCAACACTGATCTACTAATACACTGGATATAACAACACTACACTGATAATACACTGGAATAACCGGATATAGTAACGTTGATCTGATAATACACTCCATATAGCAACACTGATTTGATACTGCACTGGATATAGCAACACTGATCTAATAGTATACTGGATATAGCAAAACTGTTATAATGACACTGATCTGATATAATACACTGGATATAGCAACACTGATCTGATAATACACTGGATATAGCAACACTGATCTGATAATACACTGGATATAGCAAATCAGTTGTGTGTTATTTAAAGACCTTGATGTATTATATTCGATACCCGGTCTCGAAATCTTCCATTCTCTTCAGAAATGATCAGAAAACAAGCAGAAAAAGCGCAGTTCATCACCACAACCTTTCGTGCAGAGCTGCTTGAGGCCTCGGATAAATTCTACGGTGTTCGGTTCAGAAATAAAGTAAGTCACATTGATGCCATAACAAAAGAAAAAGCCAAAGAATTTGTTGAAGACGACGAAAGAACTGCGTAAAACGCTCAATCCATTGTTCGATTACCTGTCAGTTAGTTATTCGAGTCTTCATCATTCGTCCAATATACCAGTTTGTTCCCTGTTGATAATGTTCGTTGGACCATTCAGACGCTTTCGCACGACGGTAAATGTTTCGTTTGAAAGTTGCCAATGCATGATTCAAGCTTTGGTCTAAATTTTATCCAAGCAAGAAGAGCGATATTCTGCACCACAACTAGGAATAGCATCTGAAAATGAGTGAAACTGCAAAGCTTGATACATTGAATGTTGCCAAATGCGAAATGTATAACCATATGTTCTAAGATATTTGTATTAACTAGTTCTTGTGCGGGGAAAATGATCAGCTAAACGTGATGTTTCTTCATTACGATAGTTACAAATATATATGCACAATTTGTGAACAATTATTTCCCGCACTTTTCCTACAGCGATGTAATCAAATTTTGCAGTTTTGCTCATACTGCGACTTTCCTTTCATCTGTGGCGTTATATAGACCTTTCTTGCGATCACGTCAAACGCCTGTATGATGTCACACGACGTTTGATTGGCTCCGTGAAGCTATAACGAGCCAATCAAACTTCGTGTAACATCACGCTTTTCGCGTTCGACGTCATCATGAGAAAAGCCAATTTTATTTTTGTTTCAATTCTTGACCAGTTTTCACATCATTGGCTTCTCAATCACCGTCCTTTTTATTCATGTATAGTTTCAAAACAAGCTGTTTTCATTTGGATACGATATATATAATAAATGTTGATTTTTTATATCGAATGTATACGTAGTTTGTTTTTAAAGTGCATATATCAAATGCTTGCAAAGGGGAAAACGAAATTGCTACCGTGTTTTGCTAAAAGTATATAACATTAAATAAGCGTTAAACACGAAAGCAAAATACAAAAAAAGATGGCCGCGTTGTATTGTTGTCAAAACGTATGCAATTTTTTTCTTGCCACTCTATTTGGAACTGAATTGCAAATAAGATTGTACTTGTCCTTGCAATCGCTTTGTGTTCAAAAGCTTGTCATAAAATTATATATACATGCAAATCTGCCACGTATAGTGCCAAAGGCAATGTTTTTGTGAATAACCTATTTGATTGTCCAAATAGTCAGATAGATCGACTACATTACTATATATTGTCGTGCGTTATGGCTCTTCAGACCAAGATTTTCCATGCTTGTGCCAGTTGTAGAACTCAGTGATGTTGGCAATTCAGGTAAGACTTTTTTTATCAGATTAGCGTTGCTGAAATATAATCTTGGGTGTTTGCAAAACGTCTTCATGTAATTTCCCGAATAATCTGGTGAATTGCGTATGTGCACGCGATCTCTTCAGCTTGTTTTCCAGGCACAAGGCTAAATAATAGTCTGAGAATTTGCTGTTTGTGTAAAAAATGGCTCACCCAAGGAGTTTTTGACTCGACTTAGAAATCATAGCGATTTCTTAGCGATATTTCTCTTAAATAAAAAACAGGCTTATGTAAAATACAAATGAACGAGAAGGAACGGACACATCTCGTTTGTCAGTTCAATTTTTAAACCTCAGCCTTAGTAGCTATTAGCTAACTACATTCATGGCTTTAGATCCGCCGTGAAAACTCCACTCTCGCTTGTATTCGTGGATATTAAACTTGCCCGATATTTGGAGCGTTCAAATATCACAAATTAAACGTGTGTCACTTTGAATTGTGTTTCTCCAGTTCTGTATTATTAAAATTCTTGCATATATGGTTGCCATTGGCATTGTAACTTGTCAAGCGTTGCCATGGAGGAATAAACTTTGAACGAAACACGTGTCGCGTGTCGCTGCTTTTTCATAATTTTTATTTTCATAATTATATTTCATAAGTTTTATTGGTTTTGAATCGCTGGAACTAGGCTTTCAAATAGTGTTTTAATATCTTCATCGCTTCTGAGCAAAATGGTCGGCCATTTTGTTTTAGCTACTACTTTGTAAGGTGATATACGGCGGGTTTGTCGACCAATGAGATTGCAGAATAGCTCATACACAATAGCTATATAATAACAAATGTGAACAAAGCTATACCGTTTTGCCTAAAGGTAAACAGAACTCTGAAATTGACATTGTATTTATGTATGGCTATGCAGCAGTTATATACCTGTTATTTTGTAAATTTTTTTGGATTTTGTTTTTAGAGTGTTTTAAAGAGTAAAGGCAGGCGATTTTATTCCCGACGACCAATGTTTAGATTTCGAAAGAAAATTTTTAACTTTTTTATTTTGTGGATCGTATTTGCCTTGCTTTATTTTCGCTGGAAGAGTCCAGCTGTAGAGGTACGTATTGTATTGTGAATATCACCATTTCCTGAGGCCGGTTGTATCAAGCCCGTTTAGCTTAAACGGTGGATAAGTCAAAATTAAATAACACTCTTACATCTCTCTTGAATGAGTCAACTTGAATATTATGCACTGAATATGTAGTTGTAAACAGTTAGTTTGCTTCTTGAATAAAACGATAGACTTGCTTTCGATTTTGAACTTAACCACCGTTTAAGCTAAACGGGCTGGATACAACCGGCCCCTCAGCCCCTGTTTTCAATACAATGTATTGCCGTTCAATCGCTACAATATAACTTATTTTCCTGTTAAAGCATCTAATGTAGACGCAGTTCTAGCATGTAACGAGATAGTATTTCACTTCCCGGGTCAAGGGACTAGTTTAAGTTTTCACTTTGTATTCAAGCGACTGTTATACTTCGAATATCTGTCAATTCCTTCTTATGCGTTTAGGAAAATAGAAATGTTACCCCACCTCACTTTGAACACGACGTGGAAATCCTGCCCACAACACACGCCGTGACCTACAAGAGTACCCTTCCCACATCGTCTTTGACAACCACTTTGGCAACGAGGAAGCCGGTCGTCCAATACCTGAAGGTGCGTTCTTGTACAAGAGAAGTCGCTAGAGTTGTTTAAATATAATAAATAATATAGTTTTTAAAGATTGCATTCTTCACACTTGCAATTTTTGTAGCGATTTTTAATATTATTCATTGATTCTCTTCTTTTGACCGACATAAAGAAACGGATAAAAACAAGTACTCTGTGTATAAGTGGCCCCATTTGAACATCTATAACTTTTCCGCTCAATCACATCTATCAAACGAAGTAAATCTCAGTAAACCACATTTTCCATGTGAACTATAGGCTTATCATAGATAGACTTAACCCTGTTTCAAACGCCTGACTTTTATGTAATGATATACATTATTGAATAGCAAACCTGATTAAATTATCACAATAAAGTCAATAAACTCAGCAAACATTAAATTATCATATTACACACTCGACATAATCCCTACATGAATACATGTTAAAGAAAAACTTCCATTTGTGCAACTCGGTTCAGAAAAGTGTCTTGAGTAATAATTATGATTGTTTTCATCAGTTAAAATTTTGAAAAACTGCTGAAAATGCGTCAACTTGTTGTTTAAAAACGCTTTATCGCTTCCCTTCATATCTAAAAGATACCTTGTCATGACGAGCTCTGTTTTCTGTGTTCTAGATCTCGTACAAAAACAACTCAGACACAGAGTTGGAATAATTTTGGCAATGTGCGTAATTGTCTAACGCACATGCCGATTTATTAATTTTTACTTAACAACAAATTAATTATTAATCAACAAACAATAAATTCAATTACTAAACAATTTGCACAGAAAAGGTGGGGCTAATTTAAACGCCCTACCGAATATACTAATATACCTTTACATTAAGCTCGCGTGAGAAAACGGGGAGGAGGGCGGGTTCAAATTTGATCTGTAATGACCTTGTCGAAGCGAGGAGCAGAATGAATTGGCAGCACATTCTGCTCTTTATCTATACTGACCCTCATCTCCGCTTTCCCACACGTTACCTATATGTCATCAGAATTCCAGGGAAATTACCTGCGCGTCAAACTAAAGTATTTAATATACTTTATTATAAAGTCTCAAGTGCAGGAAGCAATAAATTCTTTATTGGTATGCCAATAATTCCTTTATCGCTTCCCTTCATATCTAAAAGATACCTTGTCATGACGAGCTCTGTTTTCTGTGTTCTAGATCTCGTACAAAAACAACTCAGACACAGAGTTGGAATAATTTTGGCAATGTGCGTAATTGTCTAACGCACATGCCGATTTATTAATTTTTACTTAACAACAAATTAATTATTAATCAACAAACAATAAATTCAATTACTAAACAATTTGCACAGAAAAGGTGGGGCTAATTTAAACGCCACAAGGCTCCTTGGGTAAAGGAGACAAACCCCACCCCGTCATGACAAGGTATCCACAGACAGACTTGTAAAATCAGCAAAACAAATAAATATAAAACATGCATATAAGAAACCCACATATAAGAATCGCAGCAAGGAAAAGGTACAGATCTCCAACCAGTCGTGCCCCTGCATTGACCGGCCGAGTATCTGCAACCTGAGTCGCCAATATGAAAATAGTGATATGAGGTAGAGGAGCGCTAGCTTTACCCCTGTATCAGCATTGCGCCCGATTACCAATGAGTCTCATCGTAGTTATCGTAGTTGCAACGAATATGGGATATAACGAAATAAGTACGAACTAAGAGGTGTGCAGCCAAGGTCAACCCCCGCCAGGCACGGCAATAAATTACTCATGTCGACATATGATGCGAAATAGGTCGCGAAGATAAGTTTGGACTACGAATGTACTTGCGGAATGCGTCGGATTTCCACCTACCCATTACTCTGATTTGAGCGTCAGAAAAACCGCATTCCGCAGCGAAAGTAGCTGCACCAATTCGAAAACTGTGCCCCTTATACTTAGTAGGGTCAAGACCACATGCACGAAAAATCAAAGCCAAATGCTCAGTAAATAGTTTGCGTGTTACTGCGCGCCCATCGAGAGTGCGAAAAAGTGGGCCATCGGATAAACCGCGACGCGCAAAATAGTCGAGTAATGTCTGCACAGGGCAAATATCGGAACGGCGGTGAAGTGTAAGAGAAACACGAGGTTGATTGTAGGAATGTTTAAAGTTCGCAAAATTGATTTTCAAACCGGAAATATTGCCCAAATTATCAACAAGCTGAACCACTTGAGATAATTGAAGCACGCCGGGAGACCGTGGGCAAGTCGTTATTTCACCAACCCGCAAAAAGGCAAAAAAGGCTGTCGTACACATTGCCCTAAATAAAAGTGCGCGATATTCACTAGATGCAACGAGAGAAGTCTGTTGTAAAATTGTGCGGAGGATAGAAATAGTGATTGGAAGGCGTGCATCAACACCGGAGCCAAGCTTACCATATCCTTTCAACATTTCGAGAACCCAAAATACCTTTGTAGGGTCATGCACGCCCGTTAAACGGTGACAATAACCTAATGCAGAAACATATGTATTCGCGGTCGAGGCTGCATAATTGCGCTGAAACATGAATGCGATAAATAAACCCAAGTCTGAAGGCGATATGGGCAGTTTGACTGAAGCAGATTGAAAAACTGCAGAAGAAAACTGATTGTAGAGTTTCCATGCCCTGCGATAGGTAGGGATTGACGAAGGCTGCAAACTAGATTGAATTAACCGCGAGGTAATAGCGGCCAATTGTGTGGGAGAAGGTGAGGCGGTATGACTGTCGGTGTTGGCCGAACGCCCACCGGAGCTAGCCGTTTGAACTTCGAAACCTGCAAGCGAGATAAGGAGTCAGCCAAAACATTTGTAACCCCCGCTACATGGCGAGCGCGAAAGAGAATATTAAATTGCAAACAAGCCAGCACCAGGCGTCGAACAAACACCATAACAGTCACATCACGAGAAGTAGCCTTATTTATAATATCAACCAATGCCGCATTATCGGTGAAAAAAGTTATACGCTGGTTACGCATCTGGTCTCCCCACAGAAGAACGCTTAATACGATTGGGTAGAATTCCAAAATGGTTATGTTAAAAGTTTTCCAATTGTCGGGCCAGGCACCGTAACACCACTCAAAACCAAAAAGCGCGCCATAGCCGAAGCTAGCCGCAGAATCAGTGTACAGGTTAAGGCTAGCAGAGTCATGCCACATGTCATTGAGAAAAAACGATCGGCCATTAAAATTGGCTAAAAACGACTGCCAAATTTCGAGATCAGCCTTTACCGATTTAGTTAGGCGAATGAAATGATGAGCACACCGTACGCCCTTAGTTAAATCAATAAGACGTCGGAGAAAGGCCCTCCCAGGGACAACGACTGAACAAGCAAAATTGAGTAAACCGGTTAAAGATTGTATCTCGCGTAATGTGACCTTTTTGCGACAAAGAAAAGCCGATATCAACTGCTTGCATTTGTCAGTTTTATCCAAAGGTAAGCGGGCTTCCATGCACAAAGTATCTAATTCAATGCCGGCAAAGGAAAGAACGTTGTGTGGGCCGATTGTTTTTTCTGGAGCGATTGGCACGCCTACGTGTTCACAGAGAGACAAAAAGCGAACAAGGTCAATGCGACATTGGTGATAAGTAGGTGCGGCCATTAGATAATCATCGAGAATGTGGATTAGATGCGCGATTGACAAGTGTGTCTTAGCAACCCATTCGATAGCAGTGCTAAACATCTCGAAAGTGCGACATGACGACGCACACCCCATAGGCATAACTCGATCATAATAATATTTGCCTTGCCAAAAAATACCCAAGAGATCGTAATCGGCAGGGCGTATGGGAATAATACGAAATGCGCTTTTGATATCTGTCTTCGCAAGAAAACAACCGCGCCCAAGCTGCTTGATCATAGAAACTGCATCATCGACACGAGCATAGTTCACAGAGGTATGCTCGGGAGCAATCCCATCGTTAACAGAAGCACCGTTCGGAAATGACAAATGGTGAATCAAACGGTACTCCCCTGGAGTTTTCTTAGGAACAACGCCTAGCGGAGAGACTCGAAAATTGGGAAAAGGGGGATTGTCAAAGGGCCCAGCAATGCGATTCGCCGCTAATTCTTTCGAAAGTTTAGCACTAACGATTTCCGGGTTCTGCAGGGCCGAAACAAGATTTGTTGCAAAAAACGATATACGAATGCCTTCAAAATGAAGGGGAAAACCAAATTGAAAACCATTATATAACATAGATGTCAATCGCACATCATATCCACATAGTAGAGGGGAGAGTTTATTAATTTGTACTGGTGTTGGCAGGACGGGACTTGGATGCTGCAGGGGTTGACTGCGAATTTGAGCGTGAGGGACGAAAATTACATCGGAGTGCGGAGTGGACTACACCACATTTAAAGCATTGATGTTTAAAATTACAGCCCGGACAATCGCCGCCCCGATGGAACTTGCGACAAAATCCCCTGGGAACAAATAGGGCAGGAACTGACGCTGGCGAATTAGACCCATGATTACGCGTAGGTAGCTGGGTTTTAGTGAAGCGTGAATGATTGAAATTTTGCGCCCTTATCCACAGTTCCCAGTGAGTGTCGCTCCACGGTGCATCGGCTGGGTTAGTTTGACGCAAAAGACGAAATTGAGCGTCGTAAAAACGCCAGTCACCCCCGCGAGCAGCCAAATCGCGAACAACTTCGCCGTATTTCATCAAAGCGGGGGCCTCCATGGGGAATTTAGTTGTGTACACCCCGACAAAAATTTGAAACGCTGAAGTCCATGCCTCGATATTAGGGATGGACTTCACTTTGTGTGTTGGTTCCAAAGATAAAAGCGGAACATTGGAGCCTTCTTGAGGCCCCACCGACAGCTGATAACGAGTATCACAAGCCCCAGAACCAAGCAATAGGCTGAAATCTAAAAATTCATTGGCCCAAATTTTCGACTTCAATTTGGCACTAACGTTTGCTCCGATAGGCAAACTGATGGAATTAAATTTGGAGCTTGGCGTTGGGGACCGCGATACCGGCACTAAGTTAGGCTCACCTGATATATTGAGTAAAGCAGACGCCACCGGCCCCTGCATCGTGGCGTCTGCCGTACCCAACACACCCGAAGCAACCACTGGCAATTCACGCGTCTCCGTCGAGAACTCGGGCGGTGTAGATGGGATGGTGTGTGACTGGAGGTTGGCCATGACCGCCTGCGTTGTTTCCGAAATTATTCGGGCAAGAGTAGCTTCTGAGAGGGTAAAATGGTTGGTAGACCCCGCAGAGGTGTTGTCTGTTGTTGGTGCAGTAGTTGGCGCGGACAATGGCTGCGGCAAGGTATTCACCGATGTACTGGGAGCCGTGAGTGGACCGGAGCGGGACGATCGTCGCGGACGGCCGGGTCGGGTTGGTTGCGTTCGCCTTTTCACTCGTTTACTCGCTCTGGTAGTGGTAGCAGGCATAATTCCGTATAGCAAGAACTAAGGAATAAACAAAGAGCAGAGCAAGAGCGAAACGAATGTCTGTGGTGATACGTAAAATACTATATACCAGAGACACGCCACGCACAATACAATTGAAAAATATTAAAAAAGACAGGAAGAATGGAAAAGGCAGCGGAATAATCATGGCATACAACGAGGGTAGCCGCATTTGATTATCCCGTGATGCTGCAAATACTGAAAATTATCGGGCAATCTGAAAACAACATGCCGCACCATCCCACAATATATTGACTTCAACTGTGGGCATCCGGAAACGTAAAACGCCCTACCCACTAAGACATGCATTTTTTCCTACACAGAACGAACGAGCGATATATGCATAAAACTACATCAGCACGACAAACATCACAAACCACACAACGCATATATAACAAGTAAAATCATGAACTCGTCCTGCGCAGCAAAAAACCCAATGTTGAAATCTCAACGTGGGCATCTGTAAACAGTCATGTTGCTCTAGCCCATATTGAGTAAATCAAACGTATGATAAACGACAAATAAAAATGCGGAGTATGCGTAGTAAGAGATATACAGAAAAACATATACACACATATATAATATAATATATGCATAATATATACACGATAAATGAACTACAACAGTGCCAGAGCTTTCAAAATAGCCCCGCGATAGCTCCTATACAAACAATATTGCCCTTGTGTGTTACAATGAACGCCGTCCGTGGATAACAGAACACGGGCGGGATTGAAAAATTCCCGATGTTCCCATAGAAAAATACCCTGCTCCTCTGCAAGAACCACGGACAAATACTGGCGCAAAAGAGCGGCCTTGGTGTTAAAAACACTATCAGATTCCCGCGTTTTGGCGATGTTGCGGTCAATCACCTGGCACACCCCAATGACGCGAACGTGAAATTCGTCGCGAAGTTGGCGAGCGAGCTCTTCAAGCCTCGATCCTACTACCTCAGGGGCATGTGTAGTTAGATCATTTGTGCCCAACTCGAGAATTATAATGTCAGGTTTGGCAGATCGGACAGAAGAAAGATCGAATTGAATAACTTTTTCAACTGTCCGGCCACCTGTACCCAGCATAGTGACATAACCCGATTCGGGAATATGGAAATTTTGGGATGCACGGGAATCGAAATTAGCCTTTAAATCATCCCGTAAGCGACGGACAAAAGAATGACCCAAAATTAAAATATTGGGAAAGCCAAAAGACATTCTAAATTATTTCTAATAAGAATAAATATAGAGATAGTTACCTGTTCAAAGAGGTGTCAAAAAATTCAAATTTGATCTGTAATGACCTTGTCGAAGCGAGGAGCAGAATGAATTGGCAGCACATTCTGCTCTTTATCTATACTGACCCTCATCTCCGCTTTCCCACACGTTACCTATATGTCATCAGAATTCCAGGGAAATTACCTGCGCGTCAAACTAAAGTATTTAATATACTTTATTATAAAGTCTCAAGTGCAGGAAGCAATAAATTCTTTATTGGTATGCCAATAATTCCTTTAATTTTTCAGGTTGGTTATTTTGATGTGAAAGGCAATGACCTCGCTTGTGACAAGGACGGCAAATGTGCCGAATTCCGCGTACGAAATCCGCAACAAGCCATGACGTTGTGTAATTCCTACGGTGCGGAATTATGCAAAGGGTTCGTTTTCTCGCCCAACACCGGCCGTCTCTTTCTTAAAACGAGCGTGAGCGCCGAACCAGTCCACGAACCGTTCTGGGAATTTTACGTCAGAGAGGACTTTCGCGGAAACATCGACCTACTCAAGGAAAAGCAGTGTGCTATTCCTGTCGATGGTTACAAAGATTCGTATCCATTTAATTGCAGTTTACCTGTTCTCGATCCATTTCATGCGAATATCATGAAGTTTATTGATAAGGACAAGACCGTGATTGTCTGCCAGGGAGAGCATTATACTACTTACCGTGATGGCGTGTTGTCTCTCCTGCGAACAGGTGTGATAATCTTATATTCAACAAACATATCTATCTGTAATATATACGACTCGTTTGTTAAAAGCTCTTTTGGAAAACGGAAGCTCTTTTGAAAAGCTTTCTTGTATAAAAAACGATTCCTTTTTTTTGCTTCCAGATTTTAAAACCATGCGTGTTAAAGCGATTAAAAGAAGACCTCACAGCGACTGGGATTTCGACTTCACACCATTACACTTCAATACATTGCAAGAAAATTTAACCAAAATCAACAAAGAATTTCTCCAGATTGAGACCACGGGCGAATCTGGTAAAAAGGTCATCGAATATCATGCACAAGCCGTACCCAAAGCAGAAGTTTTGAAACGAAAGAGGAAAGGAAAAGGCTTGAATGCGAACGTTTTGTTGCTTGGGTTTGATTCGACATCTTCAGCACAAATGCAGAGAGCTTTGCCTAACGTGTATAAATTTCTCAAAGATGACTTAAACTCGTTCATGTTTCGTGGGTACTCGATTGTTGGAGATGGTACAACTCCACAGTTGACAGCAATGTTGACAGGTTTGTACAACAAGTTTACTTGTTGTAGTTTTACTTCTTAAAAGAATTTGACTGGAATACATTTCGTGGTATTTCATTTTGTTTAAACAATGACGGTCTGTTTCTTATTTCCAATATTATATTTGAGCCATTAAAAGTTTTTCAAAAGTCCTCAAAATTCAGGGTAAGAATGAAAAGTAAACCTATGTTGTTTCAAAATTTAGGCATCATTTTCGTCCAAAAATTTACTCTTCTCAGTCCCACCATGATAATTCTTTCTCGCGCAGGTCAAACAGAAGCGGAGCTTCCCGAAGCCAGACGTGGGTTTCCGAATTCAACGACGGTCGATTCGTGGCCTTGGATTTTCCGAGATTTTCGTAACCATGGTTACGCCACGCTGTACAGCGAAGACGACCCGATTTTCAACGCTTTCAACTATCGTCTGTACGGATTTCGCGAACCACCCGCTGACCACTACACGCGCCCGTTTTGGCAGGCCGCCCGAACCGCGGGCTACTGCATCGAATCGACACCCCAACCGCAAATCCACCTCGACTACATCGAAAGCTTTCTGAAAGCCTACGAAAATATCCCGAAATTCGGGCTCGCGTTCTTGGCCCAGATCTCTCATAGCAACATGAACACCCTTAGGCCAGCTGAGGAATTTGTGCTGAATTTTTTCAAATCTATTAAGGAGAAAGGTTACCTGAATGACACGATTCTCATAACCTTTAGCGACCATGGTATGAGATTTGGAGATGCTCGAGCTACAATGCAGAGTCGTTTGGAAGAGAGACTCCCATTTCTTTCCATTACCCTTCCTAAAAGAATCCGCCAAGAATTTCCACGGTTGGAGGAAGTTTTAAGAGAAAATACACAGAAATTACTTTCTCCGTTCGACATACACGCGACTCTACACCATATCTTGAGTTACCCTAAACCTACGAACCGCTCGGAGAAAGTTGGTCTGAGCCTTTTCCAGGAAATTCCCAAAGATAGGAGTTGCACTTCCTGTGGAATTCCCGAACACTACTGTCCATGCGTACAACTGCAAAAGGTACCTACAGCGCATGTTCATGTTCAGAAAGCCGCTGAAGGATTGGTGGCTCATATCAATGCGATCCTAAAACGCGATAAGCTCGCTTCAAGGATGTGTTCTACTTTGAAACTTAGCGAGATTCGATCAGCTTATCAGAACTTGAACCATCCAAAGTTGGTGAGGTTTATAGGATCGAAAGATATCCATGGCCGCATCCCCCGGTTCCGCAACGACACGGGTGATTACGAGTGTAATTATCAGTTGCTGGTGAGAACCGTCCCGGGGGGCGGACTATTTGAAGCGACCGTTCAATTGCTGGACGGGAAATTTCAATATGGGAAAGAAATTAGTCGTATCAATAAGTACGGTGATCAGCCTCGCTGCATTGCAGAAAAGCGACCGTATCTTAGGAAATTTTGTTATTGTCACTGATTTAAATGCGAAAGGTGATTTTGGTCCTAGTTGGGTGAAGACCCAACCGTTGTCTTTGTTTTGACAAGGAGATTTGTACAATCAACTATAGGCAATTCGATAAAATGTTTTCATTGAAATAATTGTAAATCTTCGCCCGTTGAAAAATAGGCAGTGATATACTCTTCTCTTTCTCTGGTACAGTGGTGCCGATGGGGCCTAATTTATATTTTTGTTCCGCTAAACTGATTTTCAATGCCCGTTTGGCCGTTTCTAACAATATTTGTTTTGTGAAGTTAATCTCTCTAAACCTACATACAAAAGCTAGAGTAGAAATTGAATGGATTAAATAACATTTTTAAAGAAAAGATTTAAAAAAACTAAAATACTAGGCTATGAACTCATATTTATTGTATAATATGCAGTGTTTTATTGACGAATCCGCCATTTTGAAAAGCGATCATAACACTGCGCATCCAAGTATTATTCTCTATATATACGACTCAAGCTCATGATATAATTGTTAACTGAATATCCCACTTTTGAATAATCATTCGGTGCTGTGCCACCAACTATACAGCAATTCTAAAAGCGAAATATCTCATTCTACTTCAATACTACGATGGCAAGGGATTCATCCTGGTCGCAGGCAATATGTGAAGTGATTGGTTAATAACTTAGCATCAAATGTGGTATAACAACTGCCTAAATAGACAAAACACTTCTCGACGTTTCGACCTTAGGACCACGTCAGGAGAGTTAGTATGAGTTCATGCTAACTCTCGTGACGAAGGCCCTCAGGTGGAAACGTCGAGAAGTGTTTTGTCTATTTTAGGCAGTTGTTATACCACATTTGATGCTAAGTTGTTTGAAGACGCTGCCACGCTGCTCCTTGGTTTGATTGGTCAATATTTAACTATTACGAGGCAAGTTGCAGTTGGGGGTGTTAGACTAAAATGATGCATTTTGCTTCGCAGCATTGCAAAAAATAGAAGCCGATTCAACTTTCCATGCATGCAACTTGCAATGCAATTTTTTATCGAATTGGCTGCAACTGTAGGGGCTTTATTTACGATGCAGTTAATTTACTTTGCAACGTGAATACAATTAATAATACAATAAGTTTAAGATAATACATAGCCTGCATGCATGCAGTCTCATCCTATACAAAAAATGAGACTGCACGCAGGCTAGTTAATACAATAATTTAGTCAATCAATATTAAAGTTTCATCGGCGTTTAGAGAAATGCCTGTTTTCAAAAGTTCACTCAAACTCATTGAGTATTTCTATTCGACTTTGAGCTGGATTTTATATGTCTTACCTTAATGTTGCCATTTATTGACGTACACTGAACTCTCTCCTTGATCAGCAGGAACGCAGTTTAATTCCTTTGTCACACTTTGTATAAGAATTCTCCTTGATTACCAAGGCAAATCACAGGTATTTTATGCTAATACTAAATATATGTAGTTGAATGTTAAATTACTTGCATTTTTTCTCATGGCTGCCGTTTATTTGGTCTAGGAGGGCGGGAGCATTAGTTTTTTTAAATGTGTGAATGTGCCACGTCGAGCGGGGAATTACAATAGTTAGGCATATTTGTTGGTGCCTAAAGGTAAATATTTCTTTCAAACAGAACTCCGAGAAAGACATTGTATTTATCTATGCAGCAGTTACTCGTGTTACATTTTGTAAATTTTCCGTGTTTTGTTTTTAGAGTGTTTTAAAGAGTAAAGGCAGGTGATTTTATACCAGACGACCATGTTTAGATTTCGAAAGAAAATTTTTAAAGGTCTCATTCTGTGGATCATATTTTTGTTGCTTTATTTTCGCTGGAACAGTCCAACTATAGACGTACGTATGACGATCCTCTGTTTGTAATGTATTGCCTTTTGATCGCTACAATATAACTTGGCTGGGGTCGGTTGTATCAAGCCGCTCAAACGGTGGATAAGTCAAAATTAAATAACACTCTTACAACTCTCTTGAATGAGTCGACTTGACTATAATTATGCACTGAATATGTAGTTGTAAACAGTATCTTTGTACAGGGGCCGGTTGTATCAAGCCCGTTTAGCTCAAACGGTGCATAGCATCATATTTTGGAAGCTGATTGGCACTGGTAGTTTGGTACTGAAACAGCACTAAATTAGCACTAAATTAGCACTAGTTTTAGAGTAAATTTAACACCGAATATGATGCTAAAACAGCACCTATGTAGCAATCAATTTGAGCAATTTCTGGGAGTTAATTTAACACTATCACAGCATTACAGTTGATTTCATAAAACGGCTTTGATCGCGTCAGTTGTGAAGTATGACTAATTGACTATGTTCGGAGGCTGTCAAGTGAAGTGGGCGGGGATGCTGACACTTCCGTTATGTAATTCGCAACAAAGTTTCGAAGTTCAAATCGAACTTCGGAATTTCAAAGCAATTTCAATGCAGGAAAGAAATATTATTGAAATTGCTTTGCCCAGGTATTTTATAGTGGCCATTTTATAGCGATTTAGTCAAACTGCCCGCAAAGTTCGATTTGAAATTTCGAAGTTCGATATGGATCTTCGCTTATTTTTAAAATGCTTGGATATCGCCATAAACCTCGACGTTAATGTTATTCCAAATGTTATTTCAAATATGGTATCCTATACCATATTTAGAGCTTTCGGAGTATACGGAGCGCGTGGGGTCTCGGAGCCCGGTACACTTTATGCTCCAATTATTAACAGGATATATGAACATATGATTTGAATAGCACAAGAGTAATTAAGCATTTAAAATAAACGACAAATTGCAAACATGTCTCGACTTAGCTATAAGCCATCTTCAGTGCGAATGAATTTGTTATTTACATTGTGAAATATATAAAGTAGAAATATGATTACAGGTGAAGTGATATACTGATACTCCATGATTAACATAATTATTTAGCACTTATCGAGTCTGATATAGCACTTTACTTCAGCACGTATCGAATCTGATTGAACGCTAAGTGCAGGCTTATGTTTTTTAATTAACAGCATTTCGTGAAACTTAATGTAAATTTCCATCAGTTGTCCTGATGATGGCAACATGTCATCGAAATGTCAGTTCCGAGCGTTTTTTTTTTTATTAAAAATAGTATTGATTGGTGAAACCACCCGTCGTCTCGCCACAGAGATCAAAGATCACACCTCTACTGACAAAAACTCACACGTCTACAAACACTTACAAAACCCTAACTGCAAATCTAGATACACCTGCTCTTGCTTCGCCATCCTAGACACTACTAACACCTCCTCCTCTCTCAAACTCAAGGAGGCTCTGTGCATACGCAAACACAAAGCAGACCTTAACAAACAGGTTTCACATTGTAATACTATTTTTCAGTTATAATTTTTGTCTGTCGTCTTACTCTACTTATTTTAATTTGCATATCTTGTATCCTATTATGTTGCTAATCATTGTTGTAAATAATTATGTTATTCATGGAGTATCAGTATATCACTTCACCTGTATCATATTTCTACTTTTACCATAATGAAAATAACAAATTCATTTGCACTGAAGATGGCTTATAGTTAAGTCGGAAACATGTTTGCAATCACAAATTTTGTCGTTTATTTCAAATGCTAAACAGGATATATAGAGGGTTGAATTAACTTTTTTACAAAATGTTAGCGCTTAATCAGCTCCAAATTTGGTGTTAAAATGACACTTTTCATTTAACACCACCATTAGGTGTTGCTGATTCAACTATATTCTTGGTGCTAATTTAACTCTCTGAAATTGACAGTGCATCTAATATAGGCAAAGTTCTAGCAAAACGTATTTCATCTCCCAGGTTATGGGACTAGTTTAAGTCTTCATTTTGCATATATAGGCGACTGTTAGACTTCGAATATCTGTCAATTCCTTCTTTACGCATATAGGAAAATAAAAATGTTACCCCACCTCACTTTGAACACTACGTTAGAATCCTGCCCACAACACACGCCGTGACCTACAAGAGTACCCTTCCTACATCGTCTTTGAGAACCACATTGGCAACAACGAGAAAGTCCGTCGTCCAGTACCTGAAGGTGCGTCTTTTGTAAAGATTGTTCTTTAGACAGCATAACAGCATTTATATAATATGTTACGAAAAATCTCTACGGCATAGTCGTGATCTGTCCTTGGAAACGGATTGTATAAATATTATATAAACAAATAGTTTTTTAAATCTCAGCAAACAGCATTTTTCACATGTGAAGTAGACTTATAGGCTTAGATAAGCCTGTTTCAGTCGCCTGATATTTTTATGTAATGAAATACATTGTTAAATAGGAAACATATACTGATTAAATTATCATATTGGACACAGCAAACATTTTAAATTATCATATTAAACGCGCTACCTAATCCCTACGTTAAGACATGCTAAAAAAATGCTTTCACTTGCATGTACAACTCGGATTAGAAAAGTGTCTTGAATAATTATGATTGTTTTCATCGGCTAAAATTATGAAAAGCTGTTCAAAATGTGTCAACTTTTGTTGTTTGAAAACAGTTTAATTTTTCAGGTTGGTTATTTTGATGTGAAAGGCAATGACGTCGCTTGTGACAAGGACGTCAAATGTGCCGAATTCCGCGTACGAAGTCCGCAACAGGCGATGACATTGTGTAATTTCTACGGAGCGGAGTTATGCAAAGGGTTCGTTTTCTTACCCAAAACCGGCCGTCTCTTTCTTAAAACGAGCGTGAACGCCAAAGCAGTCCACAAACCATCCTTCGAATTCTACGTCAGAGCGGAGTTTCGCGGAAACGTCGACCTATTTGAGGAAAAGCAGTGTGCCATTCCTGTCGATGGTTACAAAGATTCGTCTCAGTTCAATTGCAATTTACCCGTTCTCGATCCATTTCATGCGAATATCATGAAGTTTTTTGATAAAAACAAGACTGTGATTGTTTGCCAGGGAGTACATTATACTACTTACCGTGATGGCGTGTTGTCTCTCCTGCGAACAGGTGTGATAATCCTATTCAAAAAAATATCTATCTGTAATATACAATTCGTGTGTTTAAAAGTTTTTTTGAAGACGAAAGTTCGTTTGACTAAGCTCAATAGCTACGATTCCTTTTTTACTTCCAGATTTTAAAACCATGCGTGTCAAAGAGATTAAAAGAATACCTCACAAGGACTGGGGTGTCGACTTCGCACCATTACACCTCAATATATTGCAGGAAAATTTAACCAAAATCAACAAAGAATTTCTCCAGATTGAGACCACAAGCAAATCTGGTAGAAAGGTTATCGAATATCATGCACAAGCCGTACCTAAAACAGAAGTTTTAAAACGAAAGGGGAATGGAAAAGGCTTGAATGTGAACGTTTTGTTGCTTGGGTTTGACTCGACATCTTCAGCACAAATGCAGAGAGCTTTGCCTAACGTGTATAAATTTCTCAAAGATGACTTACACTCGTTCATGTTTAGTGGGTACTCGATTGTCGGAGATGGTACAACTCCACAGTTGACGGCAATGTTGACAGGTTTGTACAACAAAGGTGTAATTTTACCTCTTCAAAGAATTTCAATTGAATACATTCGGTGGTATTTTATTTTGTTCAAACAATGACTGTTTGTTTCTTATTAGTTATTACTAATTAAATATTTGAGCCATTAAAAAGTTTTTAAAAAGTCCCCAAAATTCATATTAAGATGTGAGGGTAAAACTTTGTTGTTTCAAAATACAGGCTTCATTTTCGTCCATGATAACAGACACTATAATAACTCTCGCGCAGGTCAAACAGAAGCGGAGCTTCCCGAAGCCAGACGTGGGTTTCCGAATTCAACGACGGTCGATTCGTGGCCTTGGATTTTCCAAGATTTTCGTAACCATGGTTACGCCACGCTGTACAGCGAAGACGACCCAATTAACAACGCTTTCAACTTTCGTCTGTTCGGATTTCGCGAACCACCCGCTGACCACTACGCGCGCCCGTTTTGGCAGGCCGCCCGAACGGCGTCGAACTGCATCAAATCGACACCCCAACCGCAGATCCACCTCGACTACATCGAAAGCTTTCTGAAGGCCTACGAAAATATCCCCAAATTGGGGTTCGCGTTCTTGTCCGAGATCTCCCATAACAAGATGAACACCCTCAGGATGGCTGAGGAATTTGTGCTGAATTTTTTCAAATCTATTCAGGAGAAAGGTTACCTGAATGACACGATTCTCATAACCTTTAGCGACCATGGTATGAGATTTGGAGCTGCTCGAGCTACAATGCAGAGTCGTTTGGAAGAGAGACTCCCATTTCTTTCCATTACCCTTCCTAAAAGAATTCGCCAAGAATTTCCACGGTTGGAGAAAGTCTTAAGAGAAAATACACAGAAATTGCTTTCTCCGTTCGACATACACGCGACCCTACACCATATCTTGAGCTACCCTAAGCCTACGAACCGCTCGGAGAAAGTTGGTCTCAGCCTTTTCCAGGAAATTCCCAAAGATAGAAGTTGCACTTCCTGTGGAATTCCCGAACACTACTGCCCATGCGCACAACTGCAGGAAGTACCTACCGCGCATATTCATGTTCAGAAAGCCGCTGAAGGATTGGTGGCTCATATTAATGCGATTCTAAAACGCGATGAGCTCGCTTCAAGCATGTGTTCCACTTTGAAACTTAGCGAGATTCGATCAGCTTATCAGAACTTGAACCATCCAAAGTTGGTGAGGTTTATAGGATCGAAAGATATTCATGGCCGCATCCCCCGGTTCGGTAAGAACCCGGCTAATTACGAGTGTAATTATCAGTTGCTGGTGAGAACCATCCCGGGGGGCGGACTATTCGAAGCGACCGTTCAATTGCTGGACGGGAAATTTCAATATGGGAAAGAAATTAGTCGTATCAATGAGTACGGTGATCAGCCTCGCTGCATTGCAGAAAAGCGACCGTATCTTAGGAAATTTTGTTATTGTCACTGATTTAAAAGCGAAAGGTGATTTTGGTCCTAGTTGGGTGAAGACCCAACCGTTGTCCTTTTGTTTTGACATGGAGATTTGTACAATCAACTATAGGCAATTCGATAAAATGTTTTCATTGAAATAATTGTAAATCTTCGCCCTTTGAAAAATAGGCCGTGACACAATCTTCTCTCTGTTTGTTTCAGTGGTGCCGATGCATGGGGCTTAATTTATATTTTTGTACCGCTAAACTGATTTTCAATGCCCGTTTTTTACAATATTTGTTTGGTAAAGTTAAAATCTGTCTAAACCTACATACAAAAGCTAAAGTATAAAAATTGAATGGATTAAATAAGATTTTTAAATGAAAAATTAAAAAAGCTAAAATACTTGACTCTAAACTCATATATATATATATATACGACTCGAGCTCATGATATAATTGTTAAATACTGTACTTTTGAATAATCAGTCGGTGCTGGGCCATCAAGAATACATGCAGCAATTCTAGAGCGGCGAAATATCTCATTCTATTTCAATACTAAAATTTCAATACTACAATGGCAAGGCCAAGGGAGAATAATGTATCGTATTTTCCGGTTTTGAGAGATATTTTTTACTTGTGCATAAAATAACGTTTTAATTTACTTACTTTTATATAATCTGTTGAACTTTAAAAAAAGCGTGTAAAATTGCGTGTGATTACATTTGTACGAATAACGTATGTTATATGTCGTTTTTGAAACGTTTCCACTCGTGCATGAAATAAGTCATTTTCAGTCAGTTTGTTATAACCAGTTAAACTTTCAATAATGCGTGAAGAGTGACCTACACCTTTCATGGTGGTAACATTGAACGAAGACATGGCAATTGATTTGATTGATTCTAGAGTTGACAGTCTGAGTTCAGCTTTGGACTAGGCCTATATATTCCATACTGTATAATACTGACAATTTTAAACACACGATTATGTGGGTATTCCTTGCCATTATGACATGAAATTGTATACATTTGAAAGCTAGATAATCCGTCTTTCTTGTCTCGTTTATACGAGATTTTTTTCAATACAATCTGTTTAATCAATTTACGTCGGTAAAAACACACGTTTTTAAGTAATAAACAGGCTGCACACACAAAAAATGATATATGTAACTTTTATACGTTTCATGTAACTTTTTTTAGCTTTACACCACGAACCAGCGTCAGGTTATCGCTATACCCGCGTCTAAACTCTAAAGTAATTAGACCCACCAAAGGTTTATACTGCATGGCCTTCCGAATGAGATCCCACCGGCACCGGCATAACGTAACTATGGGGAGTTGATGGGAAAGGCTTGTCGCTATAGTTTTGACACTCACGTATGCATTTTCTAATATACAAATGAAATATATAAAAGTGGGGAAATATATTAAATGAATTAGATTGGAACCCAATATGGGCCGTTTGTTCTAACGCAGTATTTAGCTAACGTATAAATTATAAATCTTCAAACCTATTTTACACATGCAGTATATCGATTACAGGGAATGCTTTCGAAAGTCAAGGATTAGTTATTTATACATTACATATTATATAAACAGTTGGAAATTGGAATAAGATGAGGGGTTTTTATTCAATTTTCACGAGCGCTGATACAACTATACATACAATAACTACAAGCATTAAAAGTGTTTATAATCAATTATTTCGACACGCATGAAGGATGTTTAATATTCCTATGCTAATAGAAACACAAAAGACTTTTTTGTGGTTGCATTCAGTTAAGACACCTCTTTTAGCCCGTCTAGAATTTAAACAAAGATACATGTTTGTTAATATTCTGGTAGTTTTGATGTTTCATCGAGGCCATCCTACAAAATACACGATTAATTTTCTAGTTTTTATCTTTCCCTGCATGAACATCTGATTACACACACTAGTTGAAGTTATGCAGACCGCTGAAAAGTTATGGCAGCTTTGAGAGAGATTTTCATGCAAGAAAGATTTGCCGAACTTTCGATAAAGCGTGTACGTCCAATCATGCATGGTGGTAACATTCAATGGAACAAAGGAAAAAGATTTACAAAGCAAGTGTTAATTTAAAAATATCGTTATAAGCTGGAGTCCGTTTTTTGTGGGCATGCATGTGAGTAAAATTTTATTATCGATTATCCGCGATAAGATATTCGTAATTTTTAAATCAGTCTTTTATATAACGGGTTGTACATGTTAAAATTGATGTTGTCTAATCTGTGATTTTATACGATAAGAGACTGAATTCTTAACGAACTTAGTACATATTGCAATCATAGCGTCATGTTCTCCTTATGAAGTAAAGATAATCAATTATTCTTGACGAAAAGACGGTCTATTGTTTCTTTTCTTTTTCAGTATCTTTTATTCGCAAAAGAGCACTTTAAAAGAACGTTTTAATTGTCTTTATTTAACACTTGCATTGATGAAATATTCTGCTTGATTGTTTTGAACTAACGGCATTCCACGATCATATTTGACATTTGATCGTAGAATAATATCACCGATAAGATAAATATGAAAACAGTCTCAAAAGTTGGGAATCAGCACTGAAATCAATTGAATCGCATATGATGTGTATGCTGCAAATGTATAATGTAAATTTTAATTTTGAGCCAGTTGAAGTGTCATATTAATACCCGCGTTAGCTATGCATGCTAATGCATCAACCTCTCATGATTCAAATTCTGTTATAGCTACTATACTACTGTACCTATAGCATACAATTGAAAACACGCAAAGACAGCCACAACTGATAACGTCCAGCCATCTTCGCGTTTTTGTTCCAGTTGGTTTTCATAAAAATATATACACATTGAATTTCGGTAGAAACCAGACTTTTAAAGCATGCACGGTTCAGTTACTTCATTTTGTCACTAATACAATCGATCCCGCATGGCCACCAGTTTGGCTGTTCATAATCATGGAACCGAATCCATGCAAAGATGGTACCACCATTCGCCCAAATTCATGATGCTATTGTTCAGATATGAAACTGAATGGGCTCTTTAATAGCAGAAAAGAAAGGTTCACTGCATTGCAGCAAGGGCGTTGAATAAAGCCAGTTCCAGCAAAAAATATTCGTTAAGAAATTCAGTGAACAGTAAGTTGTTTCAAATTGCATGCGTCGTATGCACGAAACACACTGTCGTTTTTGTTTTTATATGTAAAAGTTTCTATTTCATATTTTTGAGACCGTTGAAAAGATCATTTATTTTTTCAGTTACAGCAAAAGATATGTCGGGAGCAAGAGCGCTGCTGATTGTTCTGTCCATTTTCCTGATATCGAAGTCAGATGCTTCTATAGCTCAATCAGGTTCACCGAGAACTACAAGTAAGCTAACCACGAAATTTTGTTAAATCCCCTATCAATATATTTATCATTTATATTGGTGAAACCACAGTTAATAGGGAATATATATGTTTTGGAGACCACATATAACTACATTACAACCCATTAACTATGTTGAGGTAGATTTATGGAACAAAATTGTTCCTTTCTCGTCACATATCTATTGTATTTTGCACCAATAGCAATGTTATAACATTTTTTTCAAGTCAAGGTTGATGAGCTTAGCAAGACGAATGCTTAGCACGATATTTTTCTCTTTTTTCTTAGCGTTTTACTTTCGTCCAAAAGAACCAATGACAAAAAGTAATAAACCTGTTTTTGGGCGGACTTGAAAAGCGTTTCTCTTGGGAATAAACTAAAATAATTATATATTTGATTGTATTCTGTACATACAAGTTTTACAATTATAGCTTGCCAGACTTTTATTACCGGAGCAATTTTAATTGTTTTATAGTTCAGACCCTAGGCAAAAATATCTAAAGGAAAATAAAAGTAATTGCATCTAAACAAAGAAACATTTTGTCTCGCTAGTGGAAACCGTTACGGAAGGACTACAGGAAATGGCAAAATCCACCAGTAGTGCAATTGGCGGGAAATTAGCGGAGAATCTACTTGAGTACTTCTTACCCAGCAACTCATTTATGATTATGGTGACCAACAACATGAAGCACACCCATATGATCAATCCGACGATTTATTTGGACAACGGAAAAACATCTACACCTCCACCGTTCCGGCTACTCGCTGCCCAAAATGAGGGTTCAGGAAAATCCCACCTTGTCATTTTTCATGAAGGCCCAAAAGGTAAGCGGTTTGCAAGTGCGTTAATGTTTATTACGCTTGTCTGATATATGAAAACCAAAGTCTCACTAATGCGCGTCCATTATGAGCCCTTTGAGAAGTTCAACTCAGGATTGTATAGTTTTCCTTGAACTGTATAATTTAAACCTTTTAAACCTCTTATAGTTTTCCTTAAACTGTATAGTTCTCCTTGACATCAGAAAAGCTTTCGACTCGATAAATCACGTAAATATGATAGATAAAATGTGCAATCTTTTCGGTATAACAGGAATCCAATTAAGATGGTTCGAATCATACCTGAATAATAGAGCGCAACAATGCCTTATAAATGGCCAACTATCGAGCCCAAAAGAAATATCATGTGGGGTTCCGCAGAGGTCCATTCTCGGTCCTCTCCCATTTTTATTATACATAAACGACATGCCTGATTCATTAAGCCACTCAACACCTTCCCTCTATGCTAATGACACCGAAATATTTGCATCCTCTAATGACTACTGCGATCTGGTTACGAAGGTTAATAGTGATCTTGAAAATATACCTATATGGATGATACAAATCAAACTTCAGATTCACCCCAATAAAACGAAACATATGTTCATTGGATCTTCCCACAATCTCAAGAATAAAGTATGAAGTAATCCTATTTTAATTAGTGATAAACAAGTACCTCGGAGCAATAAATATTTATGCCTCGGCGTGAGCCTGGATGAAAAGATGTCCTGGCATAAACATATCAAACATAACATGTTGTTACAAAATTTTGCACTGTTGTTACAGAATTTTGTACTGTTGTTACAGAAATTTGCACTGTTACACATTTTTGCACTACTGTTTGGGATTAACTGCACTGAAATCAACCAATCAGGGTGGAGAAACATTTCCTTATACATTATTACCTATGTTATCGCATTGCGAATTTTTTATACCATTTTTTACCTTATCATCATCCACCATATTCTTTTCTGCATTGCAGGTGTCCTGTGCTACCATGGCGTGTCTAACGAATATAAATTAAAGGAAGCTTTGTGCGTGCTATTCGACGCAACAAATGGAAAATATAGTGTTGTTAGAGAAAGGAATAAGTCGTATTCAACCAAGAAAGAAGCAAAAAAATTATTTAAAAAGACGTCCATACAAGCGCACAAAGGGGGGTTCCTGTTTGAATCGAATACATACACTCAGATAACCACAGGTGCCAATAAGCAATTATATTTCGAGGTAATGTCAATGTTACGTACCTGCTGACTGCCCAAAAATTCGTAATTCTAGTAAACATGTACGACAAATTATAATTTCTTATAACGACGTATTTATAATACAATTCATCAAAATTCTAGAGGTATAAATTAGTGTCTTAATTTCGAGTGAAATGATACACACTTCAAATTCAAGCCAGGAACAGTTGATGGAAAAATGTGTCAGTCAACTATAGGTCATCCGGCAGGAATCGAACATACGATTTTGCGATGCCATTGCAATGCTCTTGCCACTGTATATTTATATTTTTTGCATATAATTTTTTTATTATATATCTTTTTAATTATAATTAAAAGGTCCTTGATAATCCGTTAATGGATGACATCGCTACGCCTGAAAAACGAGAACTTTTCACTCTGGGGATGCTAGGAGCATCATTCGGTATTGGAATTGTTAAAACACTTGGATCCTACATAACCAATAAATTGATAAAAGGTGTTGGAAAAACTTTGACGATAGAAAATGTTTCGTCAAATCCTTCAATCGTTTTAAAAAGTCCAAGGTACATAACTATGATACTTTAAAGACAACTATCTTTTCATTTCACGTTATGTGTAATTTAATTCATGCATTTGTGTACTTTTGGTAATTTATACCAGGTGTATTGTGCAGAGAATTATAACGATATAAACAAAACTTTCATGCGATCGAACACGCATGATGATAATTGTTCAGCATTTAAAAGCATGGTGGAATTTTTTGGAAATCTTTACTAGACAAAAAGCTTTTCTAGCAGACGATTTCGATTGATAGTATGGAACTTATTCCAAAAATAAAAATCTTGTAAACTCAAGACCTGAGCTGTAAAAAAACAAGACATACCTAATACTTAGGTGATATTTTGACTTTATTTCGATTTTATTGAGTCAAAAGTTTGATAATGACTTTGAAATAGAGGCGAAATATCGCCTGAATATTGTGTCTAGTTCATTAACAATTCATATCTTGAGTTTACAAGATGTTTATTTCAAGAGTATGTTTTATATCATATTTATTAAACAAGACAGTCAGTTGCTTTTCAATGCATGCAGAGTTTATATTTCTCGATTTGTTGAGTAAAAATCTTTCAATACTTAATTAAAAAAGATGAAGAATCTAGCGAATATACTTTTGAATTTCAAAAACGGCAATTCCAATTATTTTCTGTTTGCCGCAGATGGGTCAAGAATGGTGTCAACATACTAGATATTATACCTCGGAGCCTTTCATCGAAAATGTCCTGTGAAGTAAAACTTGAGGCACCATTTCTTGGCGGCGACAGCTTCGCCGGCCATTTTAAAAAATCATTCATTGTTTTGTCATTTTTAATCGATGGAACAAACTATCGTCTTATATTGCTTTTGTCGAATAAACTCAATTCGCACACAGTCTTTTTGGATGAAACCCCAAAAGTGGAAAAAGAGCTTGATTATCATCTTAAAAAATTCCGCGAACCAGTGAATGCAAGATCAGTTGTAGAAACTGAAGAGTTCCAAAGTCATACTTTTTGGCATTTTCCAATCCTCGATGCTGATAAAGAAAATGTTGAAAAGTTCGTTCATGTTGTAACAAGCCTGGGAAACGCAGACAATAGTGCAATGACGATGAAGGTAATATTTTTGTTTCAAAATTCAGGAGAAAATAATAAGTCTGGCGTTTTTAACTACTTTCGGGTATTGTGCCAAAACATACTGAAATCCAAACTGAGCCGTCCGAATACCATGTCATAAAAACACCACGGGAAAACATTTGCATTGAAAAGCGATTCTGCATGAACGTTTCAAAATGGCGGTAAAAAAGTGACTTCACTCTGTGTGTTCAAAATCAATAATAATAATCAGTTTTATATTTTTTCAGTGAAATCATTGTGCAAGCAATATATATTTGCAAAATGTTTTGTGTTTATATAGGTTTATGCAACAAATGCCCCTGGGGATGTCTCTCCACCAAGCGGTAATGATATGGTTTTGCCCAAAGTATATAGTGGACAACCTGATGAGATTATTCCCGAGGTTGAGGAAGAATGATTAAACGCGTTGCATAAAAATACGAATTATCACAATGGATTAGACAAAATGTTAAGCAGATTGAATATGGGAGTAGTAAATATGCAAAAAAAGTAGATATATACCCGCGTCTAAACTCTAAAGTAATTATACCACGTGGTCTTCCGAATGAGATTCCACCGGCATATATAACGTAACTACGGAGTGTTGATGAGAAAGGCTTGTAGCTATATATGAAATGTTGACACTCACGTATGCATTTTCTAATACACAAATGAAATAAATAAAAGAGGGGAAATTATATTAAATGAATTAGATTGGAACCCAATATGCATTGGCCGTTTGTTCTAACGCAGTATTTAGCTAACGTATAAATTATAAATCTTCATTTACCTGTTTTACACATGCAGTATATCGATAACAGGGAATGCTTTCAAAAGTCAAGGATTAGTTATTTATACATTACATATTATATAAAGTTTATAAACAGTTGGAAACTGGATTAAGATGAGGTTTTTTATTCAATTTTGACGAGTGCGGCTGATACAACTATACATACAATAACTGCAAACATTAAAAGTGTTTAGTTAATTATTTCGACACGCATGAAGGATATTTAATATTCTTTTGCTAATAGAAACACAAAGGACTCTTTTGTGGTTGCATTCAGTTAAGACACATCTTTTAGCCCGTCCAGAATTTAAACAAAGATACATGTTTGTTAATATTCTGGTAGTTTTGATGTTTCATCAAGGCCATCCTACAAAATACATGATGAACTTTCTAGTTTTTATCCAAAGTCCCTGCATGGACATCTGATTTCACGCACTAGTTGAAGTTATGCAGACCGCTGAAAACTGTTGTAGCAGCTTTGAATGAGATTTCCATGTAAGAAAGGTTTGCCGAACTTTCGATAAAGCGTGTACGTCCATGCAATCATGCATGGTGGTAACATTCATTGAAACAAAGGAAGAAGATTAACTAAGGCAAGTGTTCATTTAAAAATGTCGTTATAAGCTGGAGTTCGTTTTTTTTTCATAATTGACATTAACTCAACAGCTAGGGCAAGCGTCAAAAGATTAAGGATTAGTGAAATCAATCGTGGCTATGCATGTAAGTAAAATTTTATAATCGATTAGCCGCGATAAGATATTCTTAATTTTTAAATCAGTCTTTTATATCGCGGGTTGTACATGTTAAAATTGATGTTGTCTAATCTGTGATTTTATACGATAAGAGGCTAGGAGATATTTTAAGCTAAAATGCTAGGTTTTTTGCTGTTGAAAATTTTGTAGCGTTGCTACTAAAATGCATGTATGAAGCGCCAATATATTCACGAAGTACCTCGACTGATTATTACATTTAGTTTTTGCAGAGTCAGTTATCGTTAATTTTTACCAAACTCTTTTGTTTGCTTGTTTTTTTTTCTCGATAGACAGCAAACAAGCTGCGTCCAATCGAGGATTATACAATGTCTCGCATAACAACATTAACCGTCGTTCTTTCCATAATCACGATCGCAAATTCGCACCCAGTTGCTGAGAGAAAATCTGTTATGCCTGATTTGAACAGTGAGTATCCTAATCAAAACATATATTGGATAAACGTTTAGTCTTATCAATCCACAATTGTAGCGGAGACATCTTATCTGCCAAATCTGCCAAATAATATTTTCAACAAAAATAAAAAAATTCGTTGGCTGGTGTCAAATTGTAAATCGCCAACGTTAACACGGCAATGTTTTCTAGTTTAACGCGCCACGATTTATATACAATGTTACGTCCGGATATCACGCTAACAAAAAACTGTCCGTTCAAAATCATTTGTAGATCCATCAACGTTAAAATCGATCTCAAAAGTGAGTCAAACTATTGGCAGTACAATGGTAGACCTCGCACTGGACCATTTCCTTCCAACCAATTCCTTTACTCTTACCATAACAAACAACATGGTTAAACGCCGTTTGATCGACCCGAGAATTTACATCGATAACGGCCACGCAGTCACCCCTCCACCCTTCATGATCCCGGCTACCCCCAAACCCTTTGGTGGGGAAAGGCAGATTGCCCTCTTGGAAAACGACCCGGCTGGTTAGTATTAATGGAGTAAAAAAGAAAACTTGGAATAGGCAATCATCTTGAGAATACAATATGGGATCAAGTTGAACCCTCGAAAAGAAAGATTTTCATTGGCCGAACTTTATAATACATTTCTGTTTCAATCAATAGCATAGCTTCGTTCTTTATAGAAAGCATAGAAAAGCGTTATCCAATTGGACGAAAGCTTCTGAGCACTGCGACATATCCCTAAGAGGGGCACACGCCCCAAACCCAACCTCCAACCTCCTATATTTTTAGTATTTTCCAACATTTCGCAACCAAATTCAGTTTTATTTTTATAATTTTGGGATGCTTTTTCCGCCTGGTCATCTCAAAACCGATAAATTTTCCCAGTTCAGTATTTAGTTAAAGTGGAACGATTAATTTTGCAGGTGTCTTGTGCTACGGTAATGAACCAATAGCTGGGCAACAACCAAGACCACCAGTTGTCGACACCTGCGTCATTTTCAGGGCGAAAAAGAAATACTATGCCATTTACAGCCAAAATGGAAAAATGACGAGCGAGCAAATGAAGAAATTGTACAGCGATTTCACGAATAAGAAAGTCACTTCCATTATCCCTACAAAAAACACTTATGGCGGTTTCCTTTTCACCGATTATAAACTGTTTCAAGTTATCGCTCAGATGACTTCTGGTAAAGAAAATTTGCAGTTGCATTTTGAGGCAAGTTCCCGTATAACTGTCTACGCCAGTAATCCGAACTAACTCAAATCAATCAAATCCTCAATTCTGTGTTGGTACTACTCCTCGTCACTAACCGGACAAGCTGAAAAAAAATGCGCATTGGGAAAATAGTAACACGATCATTCACAATATCTAATTCACATGAGTCGTACTCACAGTCAAATGCTGAATTTGTTGCTCCAAATTTGATCATATTCCGAAGATCAAATCGTGCAGATAATCCAATCCTTAAGATTTTTAATAGTTTGTTTAAACATATACTAGAAATACCACAGTACGTGGAGCCACAATTCCTCTTTCAGCTAACCGCAATCAAAAGTGAGCTTTTACTTCTGTTCTACCTTGGCGTGCCTATTAAAATCCGAATTTCAATAAATATTTCGTCGTCATTTCAACAAAAGACACCTTTCCTTTTTTAGAATTCAAAAATATTTGTATGTTTATTGCTCGGCGTGCAATATCTCTTCACTAACATAGACGTTGGATTGCGTTGATTTTTTCCTTATGTAATGTCATTCATGGAAAATTAGCGTGAATAAGTTTCGATTTTGGTCAATACGAAGGTGTTGATATTATTGTTTAGGTGCTGGACACTGTCACAAGTGTTCAGGAGGCGTTGCAAAAAAGAGTTGTCACGTCAATTGTTGGTGGTCTCGTCCTCGGTGGACTTTCTTCGCTGGCGACTTTTGCATTCAACAGAATCACTGCAGACGTCGGGACAACCCTGGTTTTAGAGAACGCTTCGACTGAAGACAAGCCTTTCAATTTAATTGACCCAAAGTAGGTTCAAAAACAGCAAATAGCTGATCAACTTTTTTGTCCAATTTTGGTCAGTCATTTCGAAATAATATTTGTAGGTTTTTATAGATGGGAGATTTTTATGTAAACAGGGTACGACTTAAGCCTAACATTGCATTTTTTAACCACAACAGATGGGAAACCAATGGAGTTGATCTTCACGACATCATTCCCTGGCGTATTGGCCCGAACGAGAGGTCGGAAATGACATTGGTTGGACCGTTTGCTTCTGGAAACACGTTCCAACGATCCGCCATCGCTCTCTCGTTCAAAATACAAGGAAGGGACGATCGAATCGTCTTCACAATCTGGTGGCCTTTGAAAGCCAACTTCTTTAAGAAAGATTTGAATTCGTATTCCGTCTCTTTGGTCAATACTGAAAAAAGTAACGAGGAAGCGTTGAGAAGTTATCTGAAACGTCTTGTCGAACTAGCAGACAAAAATCCCGACCAGTTTCCTACACCTGTGATTGCAGCCGATGTCTTTCAACAATATCGATTATGGAAATTTCCTATGCCCAACTCTGTGAACGGGAAAGTTGAAAACGTCTTGAACGTTCTTACGAACATGGGCGATGGACGGAAGAACGGAATGGCGGTTAAGGTACGCGGAAATATATACTCTTGGATTCTTAATATGTTAGTCGTAACTGACTTTCAAACTAGGGGCCGGTTGTATCAAGCCCGTTTAGGTTAAACGGCGGATAAGTCAAAGTTAAATAACACTCTTACATCTCTCTTGAATGAGTCAACTTGAATATTATGCACTGAATATGTAGTTGTAAACAATGTCTTTGTATTAAGGTTAAAAACATTTAGTTTGCTTCTTGAATAAAACGATAGACTTGCTTTCTATTTTGAACTTAACCACCGTTTAAGCTATAAGCTATATTCCTTGCCATTATGAAATTAAATTAAATATATTTAAAAGCTAGATAATCCGTCTTACTTGTCTCCATTATACGCCCAATATACGGATTACGAGATGCTTTTCAATTTCTGTTTAATCAATTTCCCTTTACAGAATGCATATTTTTAGTTGTTTTTACAACTGTAACTACATGTAACTTTTTACAGCTCTACCCGAAACCAGCGCCAAAAAATCCGTCCGAAGATATTCGACCACTAAGCATTTACACTGGCGATCCGAATGACATCCCACCAGCATAACGTAACTATGGAGAGTTGATGGCAAAGGCTTGTATATTATGAAATGTTGACACTCACGCATGCGTATACCCTGATATACAAGTGAAATAAATAACAGCAAGAAAATATATATTAAATTATATAGATTTGAACCCGGTGATAAGGCCGTTTGTTCTAGCACTTGCACAAATTATATCTCTCAAAAACTGATTTTTATATCTGAAAACATAAGCGGTCTTGGCGCATGAACTTCGCTGAGTAATTGAGCCCGTTATACAACAGGCTGGTTAACATTGAACCCGCAGTTCGTTTGTGACAATGTATAATTATAATTACATAATTATAAACTTATTAAATTTGATTTTAATTTAATTTTATAATTATATAAACTTATTTGTTTTGAAATTGTATAATTGATAAACTGTAAGCGCTGGGAAGATGATGATGAGCCTTCATGATTACCTTTTATGCTTGCATCAAGTCATAAAACTGCCTCCAGACAAATAGATATATATTCTGTCGTCAGTCGTCGCTATATGTCCTAGACAATTTAAATTTCCAAGTTAACAAGTGAGTTTCATCAAACTCGTTATTAAATAAATATTAGAAAGATATTCTTTATTAAATAAGCTGTATATATTACATTTTGAATCGTAAATTTCTGAACATTGGACTGAATGAGCTTAGAGTTGATTGTGATTGACGTTTCCACTCGTGCATAAAATAAGTCATTTTCAGTCAATTTGTTATAACCAGTTAAACTTTCAATAATGCGTGAAGAGTGACCTGGAGCTTTCATGGTGGTAACATTGAACGAAGACATGGCAATTGATTTGATTGATTCTAGAGTTGACAGTCTGAGTACAGCTTTGGACTAGGCCTATATATTCTATACTGTAATACTGACAATTTGAAACACACGATTATGTGGGTATTCCTTGCCATTATGACATGAAATTGTATACATTTGAAAGCTAGATAATCCGTCTTTCTTGTCTCGTTTATACGAGATGCTTTTCAATACAATCTGTTCAATCAATTTACGTCGGTAAACACACACGTTTTTAAGTCATCAACAGGCTGCACAAACAAAAAGATGATATGTAACTTTATACGTTTCATGTAACTTTTTATAGCTTTACACCACGAACCAGCGTCAGGTTATCGCTATACCCACGTCTAAACTCTAAAGTAATTACACCACCAAAGGTTTATACTGCATGGCCTTCCGAATGAGATCCCACCGGCACCGGCACCGGCATAACGTAACTATGGGGAGTTGATGGGAAAGGCTTGTCGCTATAGTTTTGACACTCACGTATGCATTTTCTAATATACAAATGAAATATATAAAAGTGGGGAAATATATTAAATGAATTAGATTGAAACCCAATATGGGCCGTTTGTTCTAACGCAGTATTTAGCTAACGTATAAAGTTATAAATCTTCAAACCTGTTTTACACATGCAGTACAGGGAATGCTTTCGAAAGTCAAGGATTAGTTATTTATACATTACATATTATATAAACAGTTGGAAATTGGAATAAGATGAGGGTTTTTTATTCAATTTCACGAGTGCTGATACAACTATACATACAATAACTATATATATACAAGCATTAAAAGTGTTTATAATCAATTATTTCGACACGCATGAAGGATGTTTAATATTCCTATGCTAATAGAAAGACAAAAGACTTTTTTGTGGCTGCATTCAGTTAAGACACATCTTTTAGCATGTCCAGAATTCAAACAAAGGAACATGTTTGTTAATATTCTGGTAGTTTTGATGTTTCATCGAGGCCATCCTACAAAATACACGATGAACTTTCTAGTTTTTATCCAAAGTCCCTGCATGGACATCTGATTACACACACTAGTTGAAGTCATGCAGACCGCTGAAAAGTTATAGCAACTTTGAGAGAGATTTTTATGTACACGGCCAAAAATTGATCAGGTTGTCGCATCAGGAGTGAACAATGTTGTGCTGCACCCTGTGAACAGTATTGTTGACAATGTTGTTGAAGCTTGTTGAATCGTCAATGTTGATGCAATGTTTTTGTAACAAGTTGCAACAACATTGATGATTCAACAAGCTTCAACAACATTGTTAACAATACTGTTCACAGGGTGCAGCACAACATTGTTCACTCCTGTTTTTAACAACTTGCATCAGCATGATGATTTTTACGCGTGTAAGAAGGATTTGCCGAACTTTCGATAAAGCGTGCACGTCCAATCATGCATGGTGGTAACATTCAATGATGGAACAAAGGAAAAAGATTTACAAAGCAAGTGTTAATTTAAAAATATCGTTATAAGCTGGAGTCCGTTTTTTGTGGCCATGCATGTGAGTAAAATTTTACAATCGATTATCCGCGATAAGATATTCGTAATTTTTAAATCGGTCTTTTATATAATGGGTTGTATATGTTAAAATTGATGTTGTCTAATCTGTGATTTTATACGATAAGAGACTGAAATCTCAACGAACTTAGTACATATTGCAATCGTAGCGTCATGTTGACGAAAAGAAGGTCAATTTTTTCAGTATCTTTTATTCGCAAAAGAACACTTTAAAAGAACGTTTTAATTGTCTTAATTTAACACTTGCATTGATGAAATATTCTGCTTGTCTGCTTTGAACTAACGGCTTTCCACGATCATATTTGACATTTGATCGTTGAATAATATCGCCGATAAAATAAATATGAAAACAATCTCAAAAGTACACGCGTAAAAATCATCATGCTGATGCAAGTTGTTAAAAACAGGAGTGAACAATGTTGTGCTGCACCCTGTGAACAGTATTGTTAACAATGTTGTTGAAGCTTGTTGAATCATCAATGTTGTTGCAACTTGTTACAACAACATTGCATCAACATTGACGATTCAACAAGCTTCAACAACATTGTCAACAATACTGTTCCCAGGGCGCAGCACAACATTGTTCACTCCTGATGCGACAACCTGATCAATTTTTGGCCGTGTAGGGAATCAGCGAATCAATTGAATCGGATATGATATGTATGCTGCAAATGTATAATGTAAATCTTAATTTTGAGCCAGTTGAAGTGCTATATTAATATCCGCGTTAGCCATGCATCAACCTAATGCATCAACCTTTCATGATATATTCAGTTATAGCAACTTTGTGTGCCTATATAACCTACACTTTAAAACATGCAAAGACAGCCACAACTGATAGTGTTCAGCCATCTTCGCGTTTTTGTTCGAGTTAGTTTTTATAAAGATATATACACATTGAATTTCGGTAGAAACTAGACTTTTAAAGCATGCACGGTTCAGTTACTTCATTTTGTCACTAATACAATCGATCCCCCATGGCCACCTGTTTGGCTGTTCATAATCATGGAACAAATCCATGCCAATTAAGATGGTACCACCATTCACCCAAATTCATGATGCTATTGTTCAGAAATGAAACTGAATGAGCTCTTTAATAGCAGAAAAGAAAGGTTCACTGCATTGCAGACAAGGGCGTTGAAGAAGCCAGTTCCAGCAAAAAAATATTCGTTAAGAAATTCAGTGAACAGTAAGTTGTTTCAATTGCATGCGTCGTATGCAAGAAACACACTGTCGTTTTTGTTTTTATATGTAAAAGTTTCTATGTCATATTTTTGAGACCGTTTAAAAGATCATTTATTTTTTCAGTTACAGCAAAAGATATGTCGGGAGCAAGAGCGCTGCTGATTGTTCTGTCCATTTTCCTGATATCGAAGTCAGATGCTTCTCTACCTCAATATATTTCTTCGAAAATTAAGGGTAAGCTAACCACGAAATTTTATTAAACACCCTATGAATATATTTATTATTTATATTGATGAAACCCCAGTTAATAGGAAATATACATGGTTTGGAGACCACATAAAACTACATTACAACCCATTAACTATGTTGAGGACTTGAGGTGCATGGATTTATGCAAAAAATTGCTCCTTTCTCATCACATGTCTATTGTATTTTGCACCAATAGCAATCTTATAATTAATATATTTTTCAAGTCAAGGTTGAGGAGCTTAGCAAGACGAATGCCATTGGTAAATTTGGCTAAAATACAATAGACACGTGACGAGAAAGGAACCATTTTTCGCATAAACCTGGACAATAACATCGTTAATTAGTTGTATTGTACTTTTATTTAGTCTCCAAACCATGAATTATCTATTAAATGTGATGAAACCTAACCCTGAATTTTCATGCCAAAGCGAACGCGAGATATTATAGTATAGCTTTAATCCGGAGTTCACACAAACAAATCATCATGTTTATATTAGTAAAGTATAAAATGTTATTCCAGAGGTATTTTCTTTTGATTTTAAACTAATGAACAAAAAAAGTTCCTCGCTAAGTCCATCTTCTCCTGCACTTTCGTTACGGGTGCTGTTAGCAGTTTCCGCGCATGTCTAATGGGAGTCTCGTGCATGTAGACGGGATATCATTTAGTCTTACCACTCTACAATTGTAACGGAGACAGCTTATGTGCCAAATCAAATAATATTTTTATCAAAAATAAAAAAAAATCGTTGGCGAGTGTCAAATTGTAAATCGCCAACGTTAACACGGCAATGCTTTCTAGTTTAACGCGCAACGATTTATATGCAAGGTTGCGTCCAGATATCACGCTAACAAAAAACTTTCGCTTCAAAATCATTTGTAGACCCATCGACGTTGAAATCGATCTCACAAGGGAGTCAAAGTTTCGGCAAGAAAATGGTAGACCTGGCACTGAACCATTTTCTTCCAACCAATTCCTTTACTCTCACCATAACGAACAACATGGTTAAACGCCGTTTGATCGACCCAAGAATTTACATCGATAACGGCCACACGGTCACCCCTCCACCCTTCATGATCCCTGCTACCCCCCAACCCTTTGGTGGGGAAAGGCAGATTGCCCTCTTGGAAAACGACCCGGCTGGTTAGTATAAATCAAAAATAAAAAGAGTAAAAAATAAAACTTCAAATAGGCAAACATCTTGAGAATACAATGTTGTAATATTTACCTAAACATAATGACGTTTATTTGTATAATATTAAGTAATGATAGATAGGCTCTTGAGCCCACAGTTACAATGTACATCTGTTTTTTTAAACTTCTTTTGCCGCCATGTTTCTTTCTTTGTATTATATGTTAGATTTTTGTTGATTAAAGCCTAACTTTACTAGGCAAGTTTATTAAGTTCATTTCACAACATACCATATGGGTTCAAGTTGAACCTGTGGATTTCTATAAGAGGGGGCTAGGTCGCAGCTCCTCTCAAGAATGATTTTCAT